GGAAACTTTTCATTTTGAATTCCAGTTAAAACTACAATTACAAATCTCACTATTACAAGGTAATTTGTAACTGGCTAGCCTGTTTTTACAAAATAAGACTATTACAATCGTAGTAAAGAGAAAAGAAAAAAAAAACGTTAAAAGGGGAGTAGCTCTGGGTTAGTCCATGTTTTGTTCCTACAGCAAAAAATGTAATAGGTGGTACGAATGGATATCGTAGAAAGCTTAGAAATGAGATATCGTTTGTGTTGATCATCGATGGAAAGAGAGTGACACATTTCAAGGAATGAGCTGCATGAGTCGCCGAAGATGCCAAGAGAGCTGATGGAGAGATTTACAAATATGACAGATTTGAACCTTGGTCTTAGATCTGAGACAAGGCGAGCATATTTTGAACGTTTCCTTTCTGCATTGCAGTTAAGGTTAGTTTCAAATCCTATCGTTAGTTCCAAAACATAAAGAATGTTTTCCTTTGTACGCAGAAGTAGATCTGGGCGCAGATTGTCTCCAGTTATGATGGATGGTGAGGAGAAGCCAGGTATATCGGCAAAAAGAGAGGATCCCTCTATTGCTTTCAAGGAGGTTGCAAGAAAATTTAGAGCAGAATTATGACGCCAGGTATAACGACCTTGTTCGAGATAAACTTTGCAGCCTGCAACGACATGAAGTAAAGTTTCGGGAAGAAGGCAGAATTCGCAATCAGATGATTGGCTTAGGTTCCAAAGGCTTAGATTTTTGCGCGTAGGGAGAGTATTGTTCAGGTACTTGATGGTGAAGTTGAAGATGTTCGTGGGTAGGTTGCTCTGCACAACAGACCAAAGACCATTGAGCTTTTAAGAGAGTGGTCCAACAGAAATGAAATAATAGCACCCTGGGATAGTAATTGGTGTGCCAAGCGCTCTCTACTGTCTGATTTTACTGCTTTGAGTACATCTTTGGTGTTACGGTAAATGTCGTATTGCAGATTCATCCCACTACTGGTGTTTTTCCATAAAGCTTGAATGTTTGTGTTAGGAGAAGTTCGGAGGGCATTGCGTGAAACAGTTTGGCATTGAGTGAATTTGACAGAAGGTAGCTGAAGATCGAGACCAAATTGATTTTTAGAAAGAACTATACTAGTTAAAGTAGCACTTATGGGAAGATCAAGCCACTGGCGAATGTATTTAGAGACAAGATTATCGAGGTTCTCAATGAACCAGGTCTTCGATAGGTCTGCAACAGTGAAGTGCCAAGAAACTTTGGACAATACATATCTGTGGTACAATAGAAGTTTATTTTTGGGATGCAGAGGCAAGTCATCAATTTCTTTCAGAAGGCTGGGAAACATTGATAGCAGTTTTTCTTTATGACTGCCGTTGGTCATTTCGAAGTCAAAGAAGCGGCCGAGGTATTTGAAAGATTCTCCATTTTTAACAACAGGCACGCTTTGGTTGTTCACGAAAAGCTTTGGCTGGAACTGAAGAGATCTTGTTGAGTATTTCTTAATGCCAAAGGTGACACATTTATCAACCCTTATTACAAAGTTTGCCCACTGACACCATCTTGTAAAGCAGTTTAACAGGAGTTGGTTCTCCTTTTCACCACTAGTAACAACCGCAGCATCATCAGCAAATTGGAACCAATGCACTGGCTGGAACATGCGATCGTTTTCGTCGTGGGGAGAGAAGCCAAGCTGTTTATATTTTTCTGCTTTTATGTATTGAATATACGTATTGAAGCATAGATTAAAGATAAGAGGGCTGAGGCAGTCACCTTGAAGAACACCACGACAAACGGGAATGGCAGGGGTTTGGAATGTATCTGTGAGGATAGAGGTCTTGAAGCCCGAATATAAGCTGGAGACCAGAGCCTGAATATGAGATGGTATATGATGGTACGAAAGAATAGTGGGAATCAAATTATGGTGGACCTCGCCGAAAGCATTTTTGAGATCAAGCAGGGTAACAACCAAAGAGCGCTGTTTTGTGCGAGCTTTATTTATCATATGACCCATAAGTGCCGTGTGTTCTAAAGTACCTGATATCTTGGGAGTGAAGCCTTTTTGAATTTGGCTTTCAATGAAACCATTTTGTTTCAGAAAGTTGAAAACAGAGTTACGTAGGCAGGAGGTGAAGATTTTCAAGGGAACAGATTCTAAGGTTATTGGTCTGAAGTTAGAAGGATCATCTGTATTGTCTTTTTTGTGGATCAATATCGTTGATGCTTTTTTCCATTCGGATGGAACACTGCCAGATACCCAAATGCTATGAATAATTTTGGTGAGGAAAGATCGTAGGTAAGGGCAACGTTTGAAGCAAATGATGGATATCTTATCAAGGGGACAGGGAGAAGTGGAGGATTTCATGCGACGTATAATAGAAGTTATCACTTGATATGATGGAGGTTGTGTGTCAAATGGATAGGATGGTTCATCGAAAGAAGGTATCCAAGAAGGAATAGTGAATCGTTTATTTGGATAAAGGGCAGAAAAAGCATTACTAAAGTACTCGGTGCACCGTGTAGCAGAAAATGATGGCAGAAGTGATGACTTACTTTGAAAAAAGCGTTTGACGTAACTCCAAAAATTTTTAGCGATGTATTTATCATGATCAATTGTGTCAGAAGTATTTAAAATATATAATAATAATAGTTATAATAATAGTTATAATAATAATAATAATAATAATAATAATAATAATGATAATAATCAATTTATTTAAAGTTGGCGCTACATAGCTATTTACAGTGAAAGGAGCTAATCCAAGCCAACTGTTAAAACTACTACATCAAATAAATACATACGAGATTAAATACATAAAATTTTAAGTACATAATAATCCATTAAAAACAGAATTTAGAGGGTAGTACTATAAAAATCTGAGCTATTTAAAACGATAGAATTACAAAAAACCAAGCTGTGGCACGAACGTCCCACATAGTTCGCATGTACAGTCGGTGCCATTCCAGCTTTTAATTTCTATTTTAAACTCATTAATAGATTAAGCATTCCTTATGTGCTGAGGTAAAGAGAGCCAAAGACGCTGCCCCAAGCTTGGTAGTTAGTCGGTTACGAGAAGGAGCTCCAAGAGATAGATCGTAATATAGAAACAGCAACTCCCTGATGTAGGCCAGTGGAATGGTAAGATGTGACTCACGCGGATTTGTCAAAGTTATAATCAACCAGTTAGTAGTAATAAGGCCTTGTGTAAATAGTGCATATAAATATAAAAACGTCAACAAGGTGTCTTCATCGTCTCTGCCCTGAGAATCTAGAAATAATACAGTGCTTTTTCTCTCTTGGACACATGGGCCTGGTGAAGACTTAAGAATTAACAAGTTTATAGCAGATTCACTTGACTGTGTTTGTTTAAAGGTAATTAGCGGTGTTCTTTCAAATCTCTATGATGTTTAACTTTCCTGGCAATTTTCATACATTTTGTACAGAACATCCCTGATACAATATTAGCCAGTACTAAATAATCAAACAAACAATTTATTAAATAATCAAAACTGCTTGCGAATGGTATATCTAATTTCAATCCAGTAAAGATTAACTCTACTTTTCATCGGATTCTTCCAAACAAAAGTTATTTTGAAACGTATTCCCCACTGAAAAAAACACGATAAAATGCAGAAAATGAACGTTACAATTACATTAAAGTTATTGTCATGAAGGACTTATAAATAGTGTAATCGGTCGACCTCTCGTCTCATTAATTGCGTTAGATAAGATATCGATTGTGATATCAAAAATCATTAATGGATTGTCCTTCTAGCTACTTAATTAAAGGACGTGGTAGCAAAGATTTTTTTAAAGGTCTCGCCAAAAAATCACCTCGATTTATTTAAAAGTGCAATAATTTATTTTTCTTAAAATTAGGCATGATCTTGTTGGAAAATCGTTGGCCTGCGCCCCTCCCATCCTCCAAAATGAAAGCCTGGATTTTCGCCATAGTTTTGTGCGCTCTTTAGAGTCAGAAGAAAGTTACACTTCATTGCCACGCGTTATGATACTGCTCATTTTGAAATAGTTTTATCTCATTTTATATATCAAATAGATAGATATATCAAATTTCAATCTTTTTTGTCCTATCTTTAAACTAAGGTTTCAATTTGCCTGACAGAAACTGTGAAGTTTTTGATTGTTATGGAGCCGCATTAATACATCTTTTATGATTTTTTCTTACTCCATTTCCTTTTCAGTTTTCATTGCTAAAGTAACAAATTTTGGTTTCGCCGAAGCAAGACTACAAATTACTGTCAGTTTGAAAGGAAGTCTGATAGGCGATACAAATGTAACAATGGTAACCCTTGCTGAGCCGGAAAAATTTGGATGTCCAACAATGAAGAGAGGAAATCACTACATTTTCTTTGCAAGAAGTACTTTGAATGATGTCACCCGTATTTTGCCAATCGATGAGGATGGTATGCAGAAAAAGCTATCATTTCTCAAATACTTTTGTAGACCATAATCAACCTTGATAGAATGACTTTTTTAGATAAAATCTAAAGGGTAAATTAAGATAAAATTGATACTTAGAGTGATGTCCTTTGATGTTTCAACACTAATCAAGAACTATAATTAAATCAGCTATTTGCTCTGATTTTCACAAAAGTGATTTTATCATCATAGATTTGCTGTATTTTTCTCCAAACGTGTCTTGTTTTTTGTGTGTGCAACTTTCATGTAATTTGTGGACGTTTTCTCTTTAATTGCACATGAACAAATATTTAAGAGGCTATATCTATGGTTGTTTTTTGTGCAAAATTATTCCATTAACATTCACCCTTTTTTCATTCACATTCACACTTTTATATTCACCCTGTTTAACATTCACATACACATCAAATTTTTTTTCTGTGTTTGTAATTCTAACTTTTATTATTTTCTTTCTAACCAAAAGTTCCCGGATCATGAAAAATGTCGTTCTACCTTTTTCAAAGCGTTCTACCTTTTTCTGAAATACTAGTTGCCAACCTTTTCCATGGACATGCTCTACTAAGATCAAGATGGCAGACAAACAGGACGAAGAAGGTAACCGAGTAAGAAGAAATTTCAAGGATAAAATTTCCACATTGCCTTTTACATATCCACTTCGTATATTGTCGGCCGACACGGTGGCCAAACTGAACAATATTTGAGCAACATTAGGAATTTGTGGATGTTGCCTGACAATGTTGCCCAGTTTGGCCAAGGCTTTAAACATTCTCCAAATCTTCTAAATTATTTGATCCGCAATTCCATTGAATCGCCCCACTTGATTCTATTGACTTGCATTTTTGTTTATATCATATTTCAATTGAAATTCTATTGAATTACCTCCTGTTTTTCTATCGTTTTTTACCTGAAGTTCTATTGAATTGCCCCCTCATTTTTCTTTTCTTTTCGCTTGAAATTTTATTGAATTTCTCATCGTTTATTACTGTTTTCGCTTAAAAAACTATTGAATATTCCCTGTCTCTGATAAACTCATATTGTTTGCACAATCTATTTATTTTGTGCCATTGAAAACACTTTGTGAGTCTTTCAATAGAAATTGATAAGACATTCCCCCGTATTTCTATTGAAAATTCTATTGAACTTTGGTTAATGTTCTTTTGGAAGTGAAAAACTCCCTCCGTGATCTATTGTCTTTTTCAGAGCAATATGCCCTTAAGTTAGGGCTAAGTAAACAGCGGCTAGGAGCCGCGAATGATTGACAGCTCATTGTTTTAAGCCAATCAAATTGCTTTACTTGAGCCCTTTTGGTGGCTGCGGGCGAGGGCCGTCACTTGCCAATATATGGATTTTAATTAGCCTCTGGCCGCAGGGGGCCACCATTGTTTCTTAACCAATAAGATAGCGGTATTTGACCGCGCTTCATTGTATTATTAGCCAATCACCAGCTGCTATTTCGAAAATTTCTTTGTTTTCTGACCAATCACAGGTCTCCGATTTTTATTGTTTTTCTTTTGTAAACAAGCCAATCAAACGCTTCATTTTGGTCAATTTTTATTGTATTTTTGGCCAATCATTGCTTGTGCTTTCAAAAACTTTATTGTTTAATGACCAATTACAGCGCTCTACTTGTTTATTGTCTTTCTTTTGTTTAATAGCCAATCAAATTCCACCATTTTGACATTGTTTTTATTTCATCAAATTACGGGGCTACTAGCCTCGTTTCCGTGGTTTTTAGGACGGGGGTTAGAAAGCAATTCAGTTCGATTTTCTCCTCTTCATTCAAAAAATTTTACACTACGTACAATTCTAAGTTCTACCTAAATGCCTCGGAGACTGTTTTCAATCGGGATTTGTCTCAGCATGGTGTTTTAAGCGAAGGGTTAGCAAGAAGGAGAAGAAGTCCCTCTTGTTAACCCTTTGCTTAAAACACCGTGCTAAGAAACCCTTTCAATGTTAGGTTAGGGGTTTTTTTAGACATGGTGTTTTAAGCAAAGTAGTCGACAAGAGAACAAATGTCCCCATGTTGACCCTTCGTTAAAACACCGTGCTAAAACCCCTACGCAACATTGAAAGCAAGCTTACTTATAACTACTTACAAAAAACTAATTAGAATAAATTACATCACAATTATTTAAAGACGAAAATGCTACGTACGTACTGCAAATTAACGTTGATTGCAAAATGAGATGGCTTATCCAAAAAATAGACATGAACAGGACCCTTGCTCGCATCCATTCATCTTGCTTATATCTTAAAATACGAAATAATGGCAACGAAGGTTTAAACTCGCAAAAGGGGAGCTGTTCAAAGTAGCAAAGTTTTCCAACTATTAACTATTCCTTCTTGTCGGATGTTTTAGGGATTTTTCAATCTTGCGATAAAATTCTAGGGGTTTTCTGGTGAGTGAAAGTATGGGTAAAAATCAGGGAATCGATGGAATAATATCGATAAAATTCATCAAACACTCTATGGGTCAATCTCTATGGGCTTATGGTCGGGCATAAATTGAAATTGCAAACAACTAGCAGGGGCCTTGTAGCATTATCTAAAAGTAACATCAATGTTTTTTTTAAAGGAACATCAATGTTTTCTTTAGAGGAACATCAATGTTTTTAGAAATCATGGACTTACGTTACGACAAGTAGCTTGCTCCATAATATCACGTACTTAAATTTCTTTATTGGTGATCGTAGCATTAAAATATCCAGATGTTTATATCAAGCAACTTTTGAGAACATTTCTCCATTTTTTGGAAAGGGTAATTAGTTCATCAATCTCCAACAATGCGAGAATTTTTTCCGAAATTTAATAACTGTAATTTACTAACGTATTCTACCATTTCAAATTCAGTCTCTATGAACTGTTAATAAATCCTCGATTCTTTGGTCCCGTTTCTCGTGGTTGCTACTTCCTATGCTGATCACCTGAAAAAGGATGCAAAAGCCAGCAATGTCGAAGTAAATTGTCCAACCAGATAGCAATTCAATAGGACACAAACATTTTACTTCTCAACAAGGTTTATAATATTTGGCTCGGAACAAAGTTGACTTGTTTACTGCAGAAGTGCTCTTGCGATGAAGCAAATCAAGTTTGTCGTGATCGTACTGTTGCCCTAAAACTGGTATGGCAAGGAGCGCATGGATTTCTTTGAATTTTGATGCTCAAGAGACCCTTGGTCTCCATGCAAGCAAACTTCTACCCTTGCTAAGTTTAAGGCTCTATTTCATCTTTTCTGCTCATTTACAGTTTCTTCAGTTAGATGGGTGCTTCTCATCTTAAAATAAATGTGAAAGCTAATTTATTTTTTAAAGTATTTTGCTTCCTTCAAAAGTTTATTCCTATTCATTCGATGGAATAGCAAATCTTTCAACGTGTGCTCAAGTATTTTGCGCTCCATACCCAAGAGTAGTTTGCTTTAAAAACACAATTATTCAAAGTAGGCCGCGTGGTGCATCAAAAATTAATTCTCTTAGAAATTTTTTAAGTGTATCAACAACCAATTTTATATCGAAATAGCATAAAATATCGAAATATCGAAATCACAGTTATTTATCCTTGAATGGTTAAAGAAATCAAATTTCTATTCAAATAGAAATTTTGCCAACTCCTCAGCTAGCTTATCTTGAAGCTCAAATATATGAATTTACTCGCGTAAATTAATTTACTAAAGGTGTCGTTTAAGTCTTTATTATGTCAGAAGTGAAATTTGTGTTATAAGAATTAGTTGACCTATGCTTTCACAGTCAAATGCCAAACAAATACATCTAGCAAGACATCCAACCAATCCAATCAACCGACCCCATCGACCTACCCCATCAACAACTGACTCATCAACAACTGACCCATCAACCGACCCCATCAACCAACGTTGTCCAAACTATTCAAACCCATTCGACTCACCAGCGAACGACACTGCTCCAATACCCAAATCGATTGAACAGTGAAAGCAAAGGCCAAGAATCGGTTGAAATTTGGTTTTTTGATATCTTCTGCTCGTATTTATTTTGCATATCAAATGAATTAATTGCATGTTCCAAAATTTTCTTCAAATGAATTAGTATGTTTTGGATCAAATTGAAGCTAGAAATACAGATCTTTTGTAAAAAATGACTAGATTAAAACTTAAATCACTAATCACTTAAAAGAATGCTTGGTCCAAAAAGCCCAAAAACGTGAATTCATCCCGTAATAGAAAGTTCAGATTAAAGATAATTCTAAGGTCTTCATACTCTGTGAATCAAATTTCTGCATGAACTCGTAGCTACCTGAATATAAACATTTTTCCTGATTTTTAGGTTCTCCAGTGTTCATAGATAAATGAAATAGGCATTTAAATAAATTTCTGACCTAATGATAAAGGGTTGCCTTGAATGAAAATGGCTGAATTTGTTGCACGTTTAATGTATGCTAGATATCATCGAATATTATTTCATTAATTTTATCTCTCTGACATTTCGCCTTGATCTCATATTCAATTTGTGAACTATTTCACCAGGTAAAGATTCTCTTTCCAGGCAAACATTGAAGAATATATAGTTGTTATGTAATTTCTTTAGTTTCAGAATCTAACAAAAAATGATTTGAAACTGGAAAATTCTCACCGTAGATCTGATGCCATATTTTGACGTCTTTATCATATTTTACAGTCATAGCCACAATGAAGTTTTTAGCTACGAGAAAATATCCTTTCATAAAAAAATTATTCAAGAAAAGTTTTTATCAAACAAAAACATTCCTATAATATTTGAAAATTTAAATGTTATATTGACTGAGCATGTAACATTCGCACAATAATGCAATATCTGCTGGATTTAACGTGAAAAATATTCTCACCAAAAGCAAGCCTGCCAACCTACAATCAAAATTTCCTGATTGGTATAAACTGAAAAGCTAAATTTATTGGGAAAAAAGAAAAAATATCGAAAACAAAAAGCTTCCAATAGAAAAAGAAAGAAAAGAAAAAACACATCTGAAGCAGAAAATAAAGCCCCTTTTGAACTATCAAAACTTCACTCAACATTCACCCAGAACTTTAACCTTTTTTGTCCAAAAATTCAACCAAAATTTCTGCGTTTCGAGTCATTCTATTCAACTCCATCAGAACTAAGAAGAGAGTATGGCCTACAGCTTCCCTTTGACTGTAGAATATCGTCAAGAAATTCTTTCTTCCTAGTGCATTATTCCATTGTTACCTGAAAAACTTTCTTACATAATGATAATTAAATATGACAAATGTAATAATCAAAAATGTAATATTTATTAGCCCTAACGTTAAACTCTAGCAAACCTTGTTTCCTAGCCAGAGTTTCCGCCAAACGGTGAGCTGAAAACAAATTGCATGTTTAAAACAATTTTCCAAAACAAAATGAATAAAGAAAGAGGAATTTTTCGAAACTTTCTCAAAGATATAGGTCACATCTGAAAGCAAATAAAATAAAAAAAGAAAAGGCAGCTTGTAAAAAATCATGCAAACTCCAAGAGGATTGGTTTGTAAAGTAAATATATAGTAGTGTATATTTTTAAGTGGTATCAAATTAAATTTTACTTTCTAACTTTTGACGAAGAATTCCTATAGCATTAAACATTTAGACAGTAGTTCTGTGTTTTAAAAAAAAATGATATTTCAATAGGTATCAACTATAAAAAATATTATTTTCATAGTCATTTTAATCTATTGCCAAATAAAAGATCCTTTGCTCGAATGTCTCTTTATCAGAGGCTTGCAAAAAGTTGAAATATTAGGAAATTTTTATTCATTAGGACTCAACAATTCGACATTATAATCATATCGATGAATTATTTTTTACTATAAATTTTGAAAAGAAAGTATCTGAAGAGCTAAACGTTTGTTAAAAAACATTAAACTAAGTATCCACCATAAACACAGACAAGCGAAATGACTTCTAAAATTCATAAAAACATAGATGCCAGGCATTGAAGAAAAAATAAAGTATAGTTATGTATCATACAGAGTTTTATGGCGATTTAGTTAAGGTAAAGTTAATCAAAATGTGTTTAAAAAATTGATACTTCACCTTTTCTACCAAAAAAAACACGAGAAGCTCTGCTGGCGGCATCCAGCACTGTGGAGGAGGCCAGTGGGCATTGGTCATCGTTATATTTACATAGATATAATAGATATGGTGCGGTACAATATAATGATATAATAACTATGAATGTAAGTAAATTGTACAAGGAATAAATAATTTATTTTATGAATAACGGCGTTTCGAGCATAGCCCATTTTTTGTTACACTTACATACATATCAAAGCTTCCAGAATGACAGATCTTGCAGCTGCATCTGGTATCTTTCTTCGGAAGATGCGTGCATTCTGAAAGATACTTTATCTACAAACAGTTAAAGTTACAAAAACAAATTAACTGCTCAGAATTATGACAGTATCGAAAACGAAAAGTGGCAAAGGAGACACATCGTATTGCAATGGCTGAATGCCTGAAAAAAGAAGAAAAATACCAGCTCATTATATATCATCAAAACGGCTTTGAAATATAGAAAGAAAACTTCGCAGGTAGCCTTCCAATCAGTTTCTTCCATGGATAGTTCATTTTTGAATTTGCATGATGTGGTCTAAAAATGTAAAATTAGTTTGTGATTAGCTTATCAATGTTTAAATGATCATTGATATTAGATATTAGCAAGAACAAATTTTATCACATATTTTTTATGCCCATCGTCGCAAAAAAGAAGCACTTTTGCTTTCTTTCTAGAACTGATAAAAAATTCTATAGAAATACATTTACTCGATTTGTTTTTTTCAAAATATAATCGAGCTGTTTTCAGCGGGTATAATTCTAGAGAAGATTTGCTTTGTTTAAAGGTAATTAGAGTACTGAATGTGTTTAATAATAGATTTTCATTGCCAAAGTATACCCTACTTATACGAAGCATCTAAGATAGACGAATTTAATGGATTGAAGATGGCAGGTGATGATTTGGAACAGACCTATGGTGTAGATGGGAAGCTCAAATATCCTGCTATCTTTAACGATTTGAACCTATAAAAGGCGAATGACGCTATTTGAACCTATAAAATGACGCTATAAAAGGATTTCAAAATAGTTAAATTCACTGAGATTGAATTATACGCACAGTTAAACTTTAAAATATCTAAACAAATATAATATCCACAACGATTTGAAGCCTAAAGTATCTAAAAGTACTATGGAAAGTGGTCACGAACAAACTCTAACAGGGATATAGGAATACTTGCCGATTCAAATTGATTCTTCCATGGCTAAAAACCAATGCTGTACAGTATGTTTTAAAAATAAAAAAGACACTTGTTTTAATCACCATATCAGAATAATTGCTGATCATGATTGTTATGAGTATATCTTTCGAGTAACTCATCATGTGACAAATTCATGATTCCCCAAATCATTTCTTCCTTTACACTAGTAAACGAGAAACTAAAAATTCAAATATTTTCGTCAAAGTCGAAAGACAACATGCTTGATAATAAAGCAGCTGAACTACGAAACTTTCGCCAAAGAATATAGGAATATAGATACCAAACCTGAAAAAGGAAAAAATAAAATTTGAAAATAATCTGATATATCTAACTTGAATATTATCAGCCAAAACCTTTAATATGCAGTTGTTTTTCCAGTATCCTATTGAATTTTATGATGATTTGTCACAAAAATTTGATTTCAGTGTTCAATCTCATTATCAACCTAGATTTATCTCTAGTAATTGAAATAGTAAAGGGGAAAAAAGGCAGAACAAAGACTGAATTTTTATGGGGTTCATCATCAGGCTGTCTTTCATATGTCAAAACATGCTCATATCCAAGCTTCAAAGCAAATCTTTAATTAAGATAATGAATAAAAGGTACAAATCATATTACAATGCTTTCACAAGAAAATTACAAGAAATCTAATACAAGAAAATTTTGATGATTCGATATCACTTTTAATTTAGCACTGACTCATGTTTTACGACACAATCACAATTCCTTTTAAAGGCAATCGTTTTGCTAGTATTAATTAGTTTAGATTCTTCCAAAATAAATTAACAGAAAAATGTGTAAAACTTGAAATTTCGTGTATTATTTTCCTTACAATTTATAAAAACAGTTCTGGTGCCTTTATAAATTTCAAGATTAATAAATGTGAATAAAAAATCTTAAAATCATAACAAGCACTCTAGAAATTCTATAAGCTTTCCAGGAACCCTCTTTAGATAAAAAACTCCATCTTGTGAAAAATTGAAATGGAATGAACGCATGATTCACATCAAAAACATTCATTAGTACTTCTGAAAAAATCAGTAAAAAGTGTTTCATTGCTTAAAAACTGGGAAAGTAGCCGGACCTTTCTGTTCGAACTTCCTGAAAGAATTTTGTTTATATAGTCAGCTGTACACCTTTTAAACTCATCGGATCACTAGGTTGTTTTGCGACCATCAACAATACCCACCGCCAACACCCAACGCCACCGCCAACACTCACCACCAAAACCCATGGCAAACACTAAGTATCAAATAACACTGCCAATACCATCACCATCGGTCAACCACCAAAATATTTCTAACGAACACCAACAGCATACAAAACTATCAACAAACTCCAAAGCCCCATGCAAAACATTATGCAAATCACTTACAAAACAATGCTAGTGATCCTATGAGCTAAAAAATGCAAGTGTTTACCAAAACTGTCCATTTGAATCACAATGCATTATATCATATTATTCAACCCTACTTTTGAACCTCAAAAGGGCATACCGTATTTTCTCTAATGAACGCCGCCTTCTGATAAACGCCGCCCTCTATTGAACGCCGCCCTCTATTGAACGCCGCACCTTCAGCCAATCATTTAGAAGAACAACGCCTTCTGATAAACGCCGCCCTCTATTGAACGCCGCACATTCAGCCAACCATTTGGAAAAAACGCCGCCCTCTGATAAACGCCGTCCTATATTGAACGCCGCATCTTGAAAAGCGGCGTTCATTAGAACACAACAAACAAAATGGAAGGAATCGTTTATGCGCTTACTATTCGAAAGCCATGAAAGTTTTTATCTCATAGAGACGAGGACACTGACGGAGACAGGGATAATGACATTACTTTACTTGACTTGATATTCTTTTTATCTTTGTTCATCGCATTTTTCTTGTCATTTTTCATTTGAAAAACTTTTCATTTTGTATTGAACCCGCCCTCTGATGAACGCCGCCCTCTGATGAACGCCGCATCCAAAATTTGGAGTTTGTAATAAACGCCGCCCTCTGATTAACGCTGCATCCAAAATTTGGAGTTTGTAATAAACGCCACGGCGTTCTTTAGAGGGAATACGGTACTTAATCTATCCTGTTGCATAATTACTATAAAATTCTTACAAGCATTGTGCACCTATTAAGCAAAAGGTTTTCTGTTGAATACAAAATAGCCGAAATGCAAAAAAGCTCGACAGATCTAAGAGGAGACAGTTTTAGTTCATGACGTGCTATCTACTGTTAAAAATCTAAATATACACTTCACTATTAAGAATTCGATTATAACGAAAAGAGTTTGGCTAACAACTTAGATAAAAGGCAAGGATATTTCCCTTTCACGGATTAGTAAGACATTTTCAAGTTTAGAAAATCTGAATAGCCACCAAATTATAATTCAATAAAATGAAGTATCACAATAAGCTATTTTTTGTAAATTTACAATTACTCATAAGGATGGTATATTTCAAATGTGTATTCTAATGCTGTATTCTATTGTTGACATATATTTCCTGTATGCTTATTCGGTCGTTATGTAACATACCGTGGAAAATATTTTAGCTTCAAGCAGTAATTTTAATAAGTATTCAAAATACTTGAATTATCAGCCCTAAACATCTCTTCAACCTGGTTCATTTGATACTACTTAACATTTGAAAGGCTTCATTTTATTACATATCAACAGCTACTAAAACTATAACTTCCAATCGACCTCTATAAAGCTTTTGAATTTATTATTTTACATAAAGTCGCTTGCTTCTTACTTGAAGAAGCGTAGTACAGAATAAGGCCAATCAATCATAATATTAAAGTAAATCTAATTATCAACATCTTACTTTGAAGATATCAATTGAAAAAGCTGGAATAAGCTACTGTATAAAATAATGTACTTAAAATCTAGTGAACTCTCTCCTACCTTTATAGAAAGAAAGTAAACCACGCCTAAATTTCTGTGTGTTCTTCATATAAACAGCAATGAAAACTTTCGATAGTGCAATATATATTTCATTTATTCTTTATCAGCAAGTCAAAGTTAAAATGGTCCCTAATGAATTGAGATTTGTGTCAGAATTGCTTGATTTTGCTTCATAGGTCACTCGTCAATTGCAGAAAATATTTGGCTTGCAACTAATTGAAAGGATTCGTTGGAAGATGAAAAGTGTATAACTTTCCATAGACTGTAAATTATTGTATTTTCTCAATATACTGCTATTCAAAAAAACAAATAAATTTAATGTAGAAAAGAAAATGCAAAGTATTTCAACATACCTTAGGCTCTCGGTAATTGTCTTGATTTAGAAGTCACAGCACTCATTCCACATTTGAAGATCTAAGACAAAAATGGAATGATCATCCTATCAAAAAAGAGCAATCAAATTTGCATGAAATTTAATTTGAACATATTTTTAAAGTATCACAGTTTCATAAATATCAAGCTTAATGTACCACAGAATTTATGGAAAGAGGTCACAACAAATTACGTGAACAAAAAAATTGCTTTTTAAATATTGTGAGATTTGTTACCATCTGTAAAAAAAAACCGATTACAATATTCTACAAAAGCACAAGATTTCTCGCATATTGATACCTACTCTACTATGCCCTAGGGAAGCCGTGTTGCAAATAATATATGAAAAATATCACTTCTTTAATAAACTACATAGGATGATTCCTTGTTAATGATTCCTGGCTAAATGACCAAACCTTAATTGCTTCAACAACTCCTTATTGTGATCTAAAAACTAGAGACAAATAAATTAGTTGAAAAAGTAAGCATAAAGGTGAGAAAGCCACTGGAAAAAATCCATTGAAAATTTTCCGCTGAAAAAGTATAGGCATGCAGATACCAAACCTGAAAAAGAAAAAAAATTACTTTGACATATCATAACTTTGCATATACTTTTATAGATACATTATACCTTGATATGTCTCAGCCAAAAAGGCACGTAAGTGTTCTATCAGTACTCTGTTTATAATTTGTTGATATATTTTTAATATAGATTGTAAATTTTAAGCTCACTCTCAGAAATAGCCAGGCATCAAACAATTTCAAAAGCTTTTAAGGAAACATCTTCAGATAAAAACTGCTGGTTTCATAATAAAAGAGGATTAAATGCATGTTAAATCCGATGCATCCAAAAAACATTCCTCTTTACTACTTGAGTGGTTGGTAGATAGTGTACTTATGATAGCAGTTTGATAACATAAACTAGGACAATTACCTGAAGCTTTTGTGCTAAATTCTAGAGAGTTTTTTGTATGTTTTCATCTTGAACTTTTAAGTGCACAGTTATTAAACTCATTGGATCACTAGATTGTCTTATGACCGTCAACGATACACAGAGCCAACAAACAACGAGAACAATCACCATCCACACCCATGGCCAACACTCACCGCCAACACCCATGGCCAACACTCACCACCAACACCCATGGCCAACAATCACCGCCAACACCCATGGCCAACACTCAACACCAACTCTCACTGCCAACACTCATCGCCAACACCCATGGCCAACACTCACCGCCAAAACCCATGGCCAACAATCACCGCCAACACCCATGGCCAACACTCACCGCCAACACCCATGGCCAACACTCACCGCCAACACCCATGGCCAACACTCAATGCCAACACCCATCGCCAACAATCACCGCCAACACCCATGGCCAACACTCACCGCCAACACCCATCGCCAACACTCACCGCCAACACCCATGGCCAACACTCACCGCCAACACCCATGGCCAACACTCAATGCCAACTCTCACCGCCAACACTCATTGCCAACACCCATTGCCAACACTCACTGCCAACACCCATGGCCAACACTCACCACCAACACCCATGGCGAGCACTCACCATCAACACCCATGGCCAACACTCACCGCCCAACACCCATGGCCAACAATCACCGCCAACACCCATGGCCAACACTCACCGTCAACACCCATGGCCAACACTCACCGCCAACACCCATGGCCAACAATCACCGCCAACACCCATGGCCAACACCCATGGCCAACACCCATGGCCAACACTCACCGCCAACACTCACCCCCAACACCAATGGCCAACACTCACTGCCAACACTCACAGCCAACACCAATTGCCAACACTCACTGCCAACACCCATCGCCAACAATCACCGCAAACACCCAAGGCCAACACTCACCGCCAACACCCATGGCCAACACTCAACGCCAACACCCATGGCCGACGCTCACCGCCAACACCCATGGCCAACACTCACCGCCAACACCCATGGCCAACACTCACTGCCAACACCCATGGCCAACACTCAGCGCCAACACCCATGGCCAACACACAGCACCAACACCCATGGCCAACACTCACCGCCAATACCCATGGCCAACGCTCACCGCCAGCACCCATGGCCAACACTCACCGCCAGCACCCATGGCCAACACTCAGCGCCAACACCCATGGCCAACACTCACCGCCAACACCCATTGCCAACACTCAGCGCCAGCACCCATGGCGATAACCATCACTATCAACCAACAACCTTTAACAAACACCTATAGCAAATCAAAACTACAGACCACCACCAAATTCCAAACACGAACGGTTTCAAGCACTTACATGACAAAACAATGCTAGTGAACCGACAAGTTAGAAAATTTTTATAAAAGCGACTAGGAGATAATTTTGATGACAAACACTTGCGTTTTATAAATAGTTTCGATTTTCAAAAAATTTAGCTAGCAATATTGTAGAAATATTATTAGCCCAAATAATTTTATGATTAAAAAATGTAACATGAAAAAAATTTTCTTATCGAACCTTTCAACATTGTTCAATTTAATATCAAACTTTTCCTTAAAACAAAATTCTATGTATTCATCCTTAAGGCAAATGAATATACTAACCAATTACATTTTTGAGGAATTTTCTCGAAGCCTTGCTAGTTTAATCAAATCTAACAAAGAGAAATCAATTTTGATAAGAAAAATTCAAAATTTTAATCATTCATATAACTTTCTGAAGACACTTGTGAACTTTTATAACCTACTTTGAACCTTACTTACTTCTTTCAAAAAACATTTTGATCTGCTTTCTTTTTAATTGTTATTCGGTTACAAAATGTTTCTTTCTCTTACGCGTGATCTTCAAATTTTGCGGTATCATAAATTTGATTGATGGTAAAAGTGTAAGGTGATCAATATTTTGGTGGTACAAAACTTGAAAATGGCTCTGAAAAAAGCAAACATTTAGTAAACTAAAGCTTTTCGTCTGACACTCTTCAGAGTTTAAAACGTCAGAACATAGACCGAAAATTCTACGCTAGGAAATATATATACCCAGTTGTGGATCGAAAAAAGGCCAATCAGTAACACGAGCACATGACTTTTAACTAAAACCTGCGATTCTGCCATCGGGCAGCATTTATTGGAAAACCAAGATTGAGCAAAATCTATAATGGCGACATGTTTCGGATTATTGGTAAAACCCGATCGTCGTTCCACCTAGCATTTTTGGAATCTATCTACATAGGCACGAAAAAACCGCTACTGTAAAGACAAAAGGAGTTCGTTTTTAGGACTCCATTGGTAACATTCTCAATAGGCAAGCGGCACTGATTGGTCAACCTCAACAGACTGGCTCGTGTTTCTGATTGGCCTATTTCGATCCACAACTGGGTATATATATTTCCTAGCGTAGGGTTTTCGGTCTATGTTCTTACGTTTTAAACTCTGAAGAGTGTCAGACGAAAAGCTTTAGTTTACTAAATGTTTGCTTTTTTTCAAAGCCATTTTGTAAGGTAATCGTTTTAAAATAGTTTTCCTCAAACAAAACACATTATAACAGCAAGCAACAATTATAATAACAAATACATCATTTTGATCTTGTTCCGTAAAAAAGCTTGACAATATTGTTTATTCTTAATTTGGCTTAACTTGTTTTTATAGATTATAATCTTATTCATGCTCTAGCAATTTTGATACCTCTTCTACGAAAGGGTGTAAATCAGTATAAATCAACCATAAAACTATGCCTTTTTATATTCCATGAATAAATGTCAACCAAATATTCGAAAAATATCAACAGAATATTTGTAAAATGATGACTTTCATACCCCTGATAATACCATTCATAGATTTTCATTCACTGGTCCATAGCGACAAACTTTCAAGTGATTTCCTGTAAAATAAATTTACAATATCAGTCTTTCATTTCAAATAAGAATAAGAAATGGATTTAAGATTAAATAACGAACAATTAAGCCTGAAAGCATTACTGGTTTTAATGGTGTTACTAAAAGTTAAACAGCCAGCCTGAACTTCAATTAAACGGTTCTTATAAAATCAGAATGAATTCCTCAGAAGGGGGGGGGGCAGCTGACCCTATGGCACTTTCTCTGTGGACACTAATGACTAACTAAAGGCTAACCTAAGAGCAGTTTCAAAATCTTAGAATTACATAACGAAGAATACTTTTGAAAAAATTATCCCTCCTTCTACATTTTCTAATCAAATTTAGACAAAATACAAAATCGATCATGCCGAGAGTTTGGGGAGGGGGAGTGTGACCCCGAGTACGCCCCTTCCCCTATGGTATCATTGTGTCCAATAAAAGTTTGTTTAACTGACACTCATATAAAATAACTTTTAATATACATAGGCAAAAAGCGTAAGCCATCTGTAATATTAGGCTATCTACGGAGAGATGTTATCTTCCACCATGCGAATGTCTATTGACATTTCCAATTATTGTGAGATATCTTCCATTAGATGCAAAATAACTGAAATTTTTCAAACAAATAATTTTGATGTTTTTGTGTTGCTTATCTTTTTTAATTTACTCGCCTAAAATCAACGTCTATCAAACATGATAATTTACGTAAAAATTTAAAATTTAGTTGGCAAAAGTGTATGGGAACAGACCGTTGAAAAATTTAATGACGTAGAATTTTTTAGATATAGATAAAGTGCAAAGTAGATATAAATGCAACATACCTTAGGCCCGCGATAATTGTCCTCGACAAAAGTCACAGAAACTTGTTCCCTTTTGTCAGCCCCTAGATATCAATCGAAGAAGTATTATCACAAGACAAAATAGTACAGTTGCTTATGAATTGTTTATTCTATTTTATCAACGATAGAAGGTAAAACTCATTACTAACGTGCTTTAATCAAACTTTTCTTTCTCGGCGTCCTTCCACTATCAATGCCCGAGAAGCAAAGACCGATCAACTAGAGGGTGATGATTTAAATTACCCATCCTTCCACGCTTTGCTGTCCTGGCACTAGTGTCTTGGGACACTGTCGCAAATTGTCTCGGGGTTTTGAAAACTTTATGGCCTGCAAGCGGTTAATAAAGCGAACACGCCTGGAAATCCTCTTGTGTTTCAGTACCAAATAAACAAACTCGAGGCAAATTTTGATAACATTATAACTTTATTTAGTGAATTGTGCAAACTCAGCAATAAAATTTCGAAAAGACTTGAGATGCAACTATAACAAAATTATCTTGACACATTTAGGAGAGTTGTGGTTGAAAGGTCTTATGCTTTAAAAATGGGAGAAAGAAGAAAAAGGAGAAAAGCAGATTATGAAGTAAGAAAAGTAAAGAAGCTGGGGCACAAGTTTAAAGTGTTATAAACTCCGAAAAGGAAAGTTGTGTGACGAAGTTCTTGTATTTGGCAAAACGAATTGAACATTGTGAGCATAAAAAGTGTTTGGCGTTTCTGGCACGTCTCAGAGGACCAGGAATTATGTTTATGATGCCTGTAAGTGCCTGCAAGAGAAGAACACCTCATTTATTCGAAAATAAGCCACAGCTTATTATTATTTGTTGGCAAGTTTTGCTTATAAACGAGGGCGGCTTATAATCAAATAAATGCCGTAGGTCAGCAACATAATGCCGTAGGGTTAGAGTTGTTGATAATACGAATGGCTTCAGATTAAATTTTTTTTCAATAAGACACAGAAGATTTCAGAGCGCCGTCGCAATGACGCATGACAGTACTCTAAAGAAGGACAATTTTAGTATTTGTAAAGAGCTCAAATGTGCAGTGAAGGAAGCGCCTGCGTGTTCAACAAGATGAATCAGCGTTTTCGAGACGTAATTTAAGCATCAGGAGCAATGCGAGTTAAAGATAGTTGGACTTGATGAAATAGAAAGACCACGTTGTGAAAATGAAGTTGAAATATCAAGATCAGTAAGATTCATAGAATGAAAGAAGAATGAAGAACCAAGATTAGTGTCTGGAGAGATGGAAGGGCCCTGTAGAATACCTGCACGAATTGAGTGTGGCCAGAAGAGGTAGCCATCAGCTCTAATGGTAATGGTCCTATTGGAGAAGGGATGGCGGGGGGGGGGGGGGGGGTTACCAGGTTGGCTAGTTTCTTTACAAAACGTATATACCAAGAAAGTGGGAAAACTGTAATAATCTTGAATAGATGGCTACTACCAGAGTCTTTCGATAAAAAGTTTTTTCAAAAGCAGGAAGACTTTATGAAGTGTGAGTGCTTTAGAAGCTTAGAGGCAAAAGGACTTCTGTTTATTGAAAATAACCTTATAGCTTGATACTTAAAATTTTAACATAGATTATTTCCAGAGGCGGGGCCAAAGGGGGGATGGGGGTGATTGTTGGCAGATTTTTAGATTCTAAGTTTATTATCTATTACTCCATTGTATCAAACTTCTAAGATATATTGACTACGAGGAACAAATTCATGCATATTATGTGCTGTACTCCCGCCTTAAAACCTGTCTCAATACCATACCTTAGGAACATCATTTATATCGTGTTCAAGTGTACTTGGAAGCTAAAAAATTGAACAGAAATTCAGAGAATTAGCATATTAAATTACTTTTCCCTACAATCCTTAGAAGTCGCGGAATATTTATACCCAGGAAACACTAGAACGGATAACCGGCTGTGTAGTTAGTTGGGTCAGAAACCCTGTGTAATCGAAAATAACGTTATGCCTTTCTTCACTTTGGAACAATGTAGGTTTATTGACAAAGACAATTAGAAAAACATTTGTATGTGCGACTTGTATGATATTTGCCTAAACTATCAACATTGTTCTATGGAAAAGGGGCAGAAATAGTGTTATTTTGGGAAAAGAAATTTCAAACATGAAGGTACAACTCAAAGGAACACAATTCCAGGTGATTCTGACAGTCATCGTAGTTTTCTCTGTTCTAATGGCAAATACGCAAACAGGACAATAATCAAACATTGGATACATTTGAATAAAGAGATCTGATGCTTTTCTTTTTTCCCCATTTCTTTTCTTTTACTAGTAAAATAGCTACATTGTAATAGTGAATTGTTATATTGGAAACAACAAATTGAGTGCTTTTTCTGGCTTGGTTCATCATATAGCCACTCAAAGTACCATTTGCTTTGATCAACATTACCACTTGAGACTAAATTGCTGGTGCATTTCCTTCTGCACTGCAAGCTTTAGCAAAATTCGCCAGGATTACCTTGGTCAGTTCTCCCCAAAAATAAACAGAAATGCACTTAATTTAGATACCAAAGAGCTATGTCATTTGATTTCATATGGTAGCCAATTCTTTCGAATTGTAGACAAGTTATAGAGGCAACCAAAGGTTTTAGATCGTAAAAACTGATTGAGGAGCGCTTAATAAATTGTCCATCCGGTGTCGGCAGATTATCAAACAGACTCAATTCTTCCATATTGATCAGAGAGGCTTTTGCGTTTGAATTATTTTCTGTTATCGATGTATGCTTTTTCGCTTAAATCTCTGAAAATTGCTTAGTGTTACAGATTGTAGGAACTCCCTGACTACCTGAACTCGTTTTCATTTTTGTAGTGAGTGACAAAGTAGTTGTATTCTGATTTGTTCTTTGTTTTTATTAAGATTGGTATGAAAAGTCAAAATTTAAAATCACCCTTAGCAATATACTATTCAAACGACTTTTTTATTACATATATATGACAGATAGAAATGTGTCTTGAAGCACTGCATACAACATAAAGAGGCTAGTGCGAGCTTGCATAAGCATCATAATATTAAAAATACATTCTTTATCATCAAACGTCCAGCAAAAGTTACTCATTATAAAAACTATTTCTCTTTGCTCTGTATAAAAATTAAAAGAAAATATTTATCTTATGCATCTACGAAACCCGATAGTGAGATATCGTAGAGGTATACTGTATTAAACGCACTTTGTTACACGAACGTTTTCAATAGAATGAATTCTCTTTTCGAAGGGGTGCAGTGCTCAAGCCCCCGTTGTTAAAACCGAAAACTAGCCAATTTCTACTTTTGCCCTCTTGTTATTTTGATAGCATTGAACTACTGCTGAAAGCAAGGGAATAATGGGGGTCAACACCCTTCGGAACACCAAAAAACGCCCATTGAGGGGTAGCATCAGCCCCCTCTTGCCTCCCCCTCTTGCCTCCCCCTCGCTACGCTACTGCTCCTCACCAACCCATAAATAATTCAAAGATAATGTTTTAAGGGCAGGTTTGATTTGCCTCACAAGGAGATTTGCTCGAGAGCATATTTTTTGCCACGGTTTGGGTAAGAGCTACATGCCCGTAATTTATCGTGCGTCGTGGTCTCGAGCAAAACGGGGCACGCGTCTAAACTGCCAGGTCAGCGGTACAATTTGAATGATCAAAAATATTCATTAATCAAATACAAAAAGAAAATAATAATGCTGTTTCTCTTTATCAAATTCTAATAAAAGATCTTCATCAAAGATGCTACTTTGGATAACATAAAAGAACTGCCAGGAGCATGATCGGCATTTACGTGATATTCAATATAAACTATAACACGAGGCTACATGAATACATGGGGATGGATCTTAATATCATACGCTTAAAAATGGCCACCTCTAGGGGTAATTTATCATTAATCGTCTAAGAACCTATCCATCAGTACAAGCTTTTAACTGTTCAAATGAAATGGATCTTCGACACTGCTCAACAGACTTTCATTCCAGCAGTATATGAGATAGATCCAGGTTGACTGTAGATAGCCTTTTTCCCCTTCTTTATGTTGACAAAAACAACATACTCTTTTTTGTCCAGAAAAGCTCCACAGTTTTTGCACACGTTTTTTGGGGTGTTAACTTTAACCGTCATTTTCTTGAGACGCAATCTCTTTTTCATGGCCTTTCCAAGGTTTTTTGCTTTCTTTATTTCTTCTCTTATTTGGAATTTAATTCTTTTGGACCCACGCATGTTCATTACTTTTCCGATGAAAACTGAAACAAGACAGAGGAGTAACAGATCCAATCAATAGCCACAGCAACAGAGAAAAACGAGAAGAAACTGAAGAGTTTGGATACCTTGAAGAAATAATCTTGATAACCTAATAATTAACATGAAAATGATTCCCGCAGCTTTGGAAAAGGTGCAAGACAAGGTTGTGTTCTGTCACCAATATTGTTTAATAAGTACAGCAGGGAACTAATAAACTAAGCTCAACATTATGAATCTGGTTAAGTATTGAATGGAGTGAATGTCAACAATATATGATTTGCTGATGATACAGTATTGCTAAGTAGCACAGAAGAACTACCGAGACTGATGGATAAGCCAGATGAAAGCTGCAGAGCGAATGACATCAAGTTGAATCATTCATTCAGAAAGTAAAAAGACAAAGACTATGGTTATGGAAAAGCAGCCAGCAATGAAAGTTGCAATAAAATAACATGGGGTATCATTAATACAAGTTAAACAGTATAAACATCTAGGCACCATAATAACTGAATATACAAAATGCCTACAAGAAATCAAAAGTAGAATAGGAATATAAAGCAATCATCCTAAGAATTGAAGAAACTGATAAAAGCAATGTCAATATGGAACGAAGAAAAGGTTACTGAAAACTTATAGATATTCACTGCTAACATATGGTTGTGAAGCATGGACTATAGGTAAAGAAGCAGAAAGAAGGGTAAATGCATTTGAAACACAGTGCTAATGCAAAACTCTGAAAGTTAGCTGGACAAGAAGAGTTACAAACAAAGATATATTTGAAAGGGTAGAAGAGGGACCAAGTTCACTCCACCATGAATCATCATTTTTTGGCCATATAACAAGAAGTCCAAGCCAAACACTGTTTGTCAACATCATCAATGATTCATAAATGGGAAAAAAGCTAAGCGTAGAACTTGGAGAATGTGGATTGATAATCAAAGAAGGGACAAACACTAAAGAATTTGGGAAATTAAAAAGAAAAGTGCAGTGCAGACAAGTGCGGAGATCCTCAATTAGCAACCTTAAGACCTTCAAGAAATTTAAACAGAATGATAGATAGAAGTATCTCAATTTTTCTACTGATTTTTATCTAGAAGTAAGCACTATTATCAGCATTTTGCATGAACCATTTCACTTTCATTTCTGACAACTACTTAAATGGTTTTGGTTGTGTGTCTTTCGTGTATGTTTTAGCAACTGAAAAAGGTGCAAAATAGTATCAATAAATTCTTTATTTTATTACTTGCTATTGATGAATCACTTTTGAAGCTGATGCAATGTATCAAGCAATCAAAATTATTATGATTTGAAATATTACAAACATGAATTTTTTAAAATAATAAAAAGAAACCTTAATATAAAGTTCTAACATGAGAGGTGTTTTACAAAATAAGCATACTGTTTCCAAAAACATACCCAAGTCATGATCTTGACAAAGTTGTTTCATTGTTGCTGGAGAGTTCCCAATGCATTCAGTGCAATTTTTCTCTTTAACATAAGAAAATCATAAGTAACTGCAGTAAAAAAGGAGGGGGATTAAGATTTCAAATAGAAAGGGATTTTCCAGGCTACCTCAGACTTGGTTAATCTTTGTGAGTGTACAAGCAGATTTTGCAGGCACTTTTCTGTGTGGACTTTTATTCATCTATATTGCTTAACAGTCCAGTTTTTTGTTAATGTCTCCCTTGATATTGAAAATTTGGATACAATTTCAAAGGTTACATTGTCCAAATGACAGGGATCTTTACTTTAATGGCCCCAGTTTGATTGTCAATAGCCCAAATCAAGTTAGCTGTTTGTCTCTTACTCTCTATTCTCTTTTGATGAAAGAGATGATTTGCAACTATTCATTCCACCATTCCAATCATTTGATCAATCTTTCCTCTGAGCATTATGTAATGACTTGAAGAACTCTTTACGACAAGGAAGGTTGAAGTAAGTATGCCCCTTTAAATTTGAGTTGTTGGGCATGGCTTCTTGTAACTATTTCATTGTTGCAAGTAAGAGAAATAATGTAAAAGCTAAAGTATGTGTATGTCTGTTGTATTAGGGCAAAATTATAAAAATTATGAGGTACTCCTTTAATGAATTCACCGAGAAGAAAATTCCAACAATTTGAAACAACATAAAAATGCCTCTCTTTAATTTTCTGAATTAAAGAATTTTCACATTAAAAAATTAGATCTTCTGAGAATGATAAACAAAAAGCGGCCTACTGAATTTTGTAAAAAGTCACTATGTTGACGGAGAAACTTTGAACAAAAGCTTATTGGAAATAAACTCTTTCAATAAGCAGACTTATTTCTTTTTAATGAAAAATACCTAGGTAATTTAGAAAGTTTGATAGCTCTTGCAAACAAACAAAAACCAAGTCCCAAAATCACCAACTATGAAAAAATGTTGAAGTCAAAACAAAAGACTGCTTTAAGTGAAGCATTCAAGATATTGGAAAGCCTTCATTAATGAAGATGGCTTTATCTGATGAAATTGATAATGACAATAGGACTGCCTGACAACCCTAAACACCAATAGAAAATAACTAGATTGCTTCATTTCTATTCTTACAGGTCGCATTATCTTATATTGCTCTCAGAAATTGTTATGCCATATGTTCCGTTTATCATGCAGTTGTAGTTCATGATGAAATTGATATAGTATCTGCTTTTGACAAACATAAGTTTGTGTAACAGTACTGGGCATAACCTATATATATTTCAGCAAAAAAACAGTTTAGCCATTCAGACCATAAGGTGCATCCTATTTTAGTTACAGGCACATTTATTTCGGCTTCTTGCTTGCAGGCACACATTTTTAATGAGCCCTGGGCTACCTACCTTTATAAACAAATATTATTCAAAATTTTGAAATGTTTAACCAAAAGGTAATGGTAGAAAATAGTTGACATTCCTACAAAATGCCTTAAAAAGACTTCTTTCTATAGATTTACCTTGACTTATTGGCTTTCTGCTACTGGACATGAAAAATTGTTTCATTATCAATTTTAATGGTCTAACCATGCATCTGTATCTATGAATTTTAGAGGCATCAACAATCTTTCTGAAAAGACTCCTAAATTTTAACATTTTTCTTGAATCTTTTCTTTTTCTATTTCCTTATTGTCATTTCCTTAGTCTTCTGTCCAATATGTTTTTCTATCTTGTCATTATGGCTTGTCTTCTATTTCCTTTCATTTTCATATGTCTTGAAAACATGTTTCATATGTTTCATATATCCAAGGCACAACTTGAATTGGCACAGTTAAATGGTACAGATACAAACAGGTTGAAGAGGACCCGTTTAAATGTCACTTGAGTTGGGAAAAGAACAATTAAATGACTGAAAATGTTGTTTTCTGTTGCATTTTTAAAGCTTACTTAATAGCAAACCACCTGGTCTAGAAACACTTTCCAACGCATATTTGAATGTGATCCTCTGCCTGTTGAAAACCTACCTTGATCAAAAATGGTGTTATGTAATAATTTGCCATCATATAACCTGAAGATGAACCTTTCTCAAACAGAGTACTAAAGGAGTGAACAAATTTGCCAGGAAACATAATATGCTGAGAAATTAATGTTGAGATCATTGAAACAGGATTTATTGCAATTCAAACACAAAGGTATTTTACTCCAACAAACTAAAAAGGGCATTTCCACCTTTCTCTGAGAGTAAAGGTTCCTTTTGGCATGGCTTCCCCTCAGCTATTTTGAGCTTGAATGTACCAAAAGTCTTGGAAAAAGCTCCTGGGGGTAATGTGATTTCTGGTTATTCTTCTATTGTTCATTGGCGTGTATGCAATGTGAGCTCTACATGGATTCCATTCTTGGAATTTACATGGATCCCACCCATTTGCAAAAAAGATGTACAAACATCAAGATTATGACAGGACATGAAAATAACAAACAAGAAAACAGCTACTTAGAGCAGGATTAATATTTTTTGCAGGCTACTCGCTTTTGTAAAAAAATGCCTTTAATAAGACAAAAAATAAATAAATAAAGTTCTTTTTAGATGTTTTCCATGATTTTTCTATATTATCAACGTTTTAAACTTTTCTGAGTAATAAAGAAGATGTTGATGGATCTCGCATAGGTTCCTTTGGTTGCTAGCAAGTCCATCCCTTGAAGTACTGTTGCTGTGAAAATTATGTTGTGAAAAACATAAAAAAGCAACAATGGTACCTTGTCAGAAAACTGAGAAAAAAATGATGTAATATCAACCCCAATTGATCATGCTGGGCAATGCTATACAACTGTGGACTGTGTGGTTCTGTTACTCCTGCAGACATAATTTTGATTACCGTAAAAGCTCTATTAAGCCCCCTCTCTCATTAAAGCCCACCTCTCTATTAAGTATTAATCCCCCCTTATCAAGCAAAATTTAAAATAAGCCCCCCTCTTAAGCCCCTGTTGTCAAACAAAGAAAAGATGTGCTTTGAGCAGGTCTCTTGATGGGTGTGATGACAAAAAGATTATGTGCGTTTATAATGGCCAATGTAAATACTTGGGCACCTTTGAATTCAGCCAGAATTTGTTTAGAAGATGTCCCAGGGGATATCAATTGATCTTGGTGACTCTGAGGAAATTGAGGACATTATAATTGATTGATTTTCAGAAACTTTTGAAGCTAATAGCAAAATATTTGAGAACAGATGCATAAAGGTATTTTTATAACCTTCTTACATTGAATTTTCAATATGCCCCCTCTCTCTAATAAGCCCCCTTCTAGAACTGAAAATAAATAAATAAGCCCTCCCCCTTAATAGAGCTTTTACGGTAGTTGGATGATGATGCCACGCTTATTTTTACTTGCATAGTTGAGTGTTGGTTCTATGTAGGTTATTAGATCTCCAATTTTTTTAATGCATTGTTAATGCTAGCATAGGGGGTAATAGCCCCTGTCCCTCCACTCTGGTGCAACCACTGAAAATTCCCGACCTCAGGGGCGGGGGGAGTTTAGAGGACAATTGCCGCAGTTTAGAAATCGGTGGTGCAGGCCCAATGTGAGAAAGGATAAAGAAGATTATACCTTTTTTTGCTATAGGTGCACGAATGCAAAGTTTCTCTCCTTCTTTTGGGAATCTTTCGCATTTTAGTGAATCAGGCCAAACGAATCCAAATTTGTTCATTATGCCAATGCAACCGTTTCGTGCTGCTTCGCAAAGTGATCTACATGGTAGCACCAACGTCCGCGAGCAAACTGGCGCGTAGACACTGCAGAGAAACAATCCAAGGTATTTCGAGCATTCGACTTTAACCAATGGAAAAAAACTGTGGACCTCCAAACCTGCTTCCTCTTGATTCCGGTGCGAAAGTGAGTTGGGATACGTTGTCATGTTATACATGGTCGCATTCCCCATCTGGGTTCCGACGTCTTTACACAACGGAATTGTTACAGGTTCGCATTTCTGTCTGCCGAAATCACTCTCCGCAAACGTGGACCCAAAAGCAACCAAAGCAAGAATGTACATCCACCACATCGTTATTCTTCCACTTCAGGAGCTTTTATATTCGCAGTTTGAGAGGTTTACTATCCTCTACTTCTTGATGTAGTCTTCGTACGAAAACGCAAGCAACAATTGGATCTGACGAATGCGGTACGTTGTGTTGACAAACTGATTTCCGCAAATGCTTTGTTTGCAAGCACCGTTTGCAAAGCTTATAAAATTGTATACTTCGGACCAGCAAAGCACGGACTAGGATACTGGGCCAGCGAAACCAAGCGCCATGCCCCCACTTTTTTGCATTCCCTTAAATATGCCAATAGCTTATTAGCTCTGTTTTTACAAGTTAAATGTTTAGAGATCGATCGAAAAAAACCGAAACATTGTTCAAGTTTAGCGCTACATGTTACACTGCTTAAACAGCTTTCACATAGTGACTGCTAACTATTGTATGATATTTGGAACAAGCAGAGACGGATTTACCGGGGTTATGTTATAGGGATGTGACACCCCTCAATATTTTTATGTTTTTCTGTAAATTTTGCTTCTATTCGGTTACAAGAATTTTCTGGTAGCCGGTAGTAACAAAATGGTGCTTTATTTATATTTTACCTTCTTGAATTTAATTTTAAAAACCGCACTCAAAAATTGGCGTTTTCATTATCCATGTGGCACCGAAATCCAATCATTTTAAACGCCCCCTCCCCAATCCTTGCCTCTTAAATCCGTCCCTGGGAATAAGTGCTTGGTTTAGGAAATAGATAGGGAAATTCCATCCAGAATACCTTGCTGCCAAAGTTAAATGATGACGACTTTTTCCATTTTTCAATGCCTGCCTGCAGGGCCGCGAAGAGAATTTATGGGCCCCGGGTCAGGACAAAAATTAAATAATAAGGCATGCCTAAGGCAGACGCTCCTAGGGGGTATGGGGAATGCTCCCCAGAAATTTTTAAAAATTATGGTTGCTTAAACTGTTAGGGTGGCTATTTTGGTTGCTAAAATTGCCGTGGTGGCTAAACTGCACCGGTGGCAATGGTGTAGAGAGAGGGGGTTAGGGAGCAAAAACACCACTGTAGAGCTAAACTGCTATTTTGCATGGTTGTCTATGGTTATCTAATTGCTATGTTTTGATGGAAAAAATTTTAATCTAAATAAACATAAAAATATTTAATATATCAAATGATCTTTTTTCAGTTCCGATGTCGTTATGTTATGTTGAATATTAAGAGAACAATATAGAAGCTTGTTAGATTTTTGTCGGAAAATCCATGTTTCTCACCCCTCCTGTGAATTAGAAAGAAATAGAAAATAACAGGTAGAAGATGATACGTTTAAATAACTGAGAATAAAAAACAAGTGGGTTAGGCACAAGATTTAGGGATATTTAATGGAAGAGATATAATCTAGACAAGGAATAGGTATGTTGAGATTCCTCTCAAAATACACACCACGACACACCCTCAACGAAATATACAAACTGTTACCCTGGGTACCAGACTCACTATAAAGAAATAGAGAGTCTGGTCTAGTGCGCCCCATTCTCGTTCTGGTGAACTTACGTGAAAGAACTGAAGTCTATTTAACAGACTAGGCCTGTGAAACAAGACTGTCGGATAAATAACAAAGATACGTAGTTCTGTAAAGTTGACATTATCAATACGCCATTTGGCCTTAATCGAAATAGGCCAATCAGAAACACGAGCACATGACTGTATAGGTTGACCAATCAGTGCTGCTTGCCTATTGAGAATGTTTCTCAATAGGCAATATTCTCAATAGGCAAGCGGCACTGATTGGTCAACCTATACAGTAATGTGCTTGTGTTTCTGATTGGCCTATTTCGATCCACAACTGGGTATATATATTTCCTAGCATAGAGTTTTCGACCCATGTTCTAAAGTTTTAAACTCTGAAGAGTGTCAGACGAAAAGCTTTAGTTTACTAAATGTTTGCTTTTTTCAAAGCCATTTACAAGTTTTGTACCACCAAAAGATTGTTTGAATGAAATTTTCTTAGAAATTCTTAAAGCTTCGAAAATGAAAAACGCTCAATTCGTTAACTTAATTAGACCACAACCGGCACACTGTTGCAAATAGATGCGAATGCCATAGTATAAATTTGTATTACATACATATTGCCCTGTATGTTGCCCTGCAATCACATTTTTTGTAAACATTCAGAAGCTTTTGAACTTCTTAAGCCGTAGCCAACAAAGATGAGAAATTCTCGGGAAATTCTCAACAAAATTATATTTAAGACTGAGGCAGGCAACGACTTCATGGACCTTTGTCATTATTGTCTCTAATATTATGTTATGTTGATATTGATGGAGAGACTGGATTATTACTTAGAAATTGTTTCAATTGAGTTATTATTTATGGGCCCCTAAAGCCAAAGGCCCCCGGTTCAGTGACCCCCTGACCCCCCCTCTCTTCAGCACTGCCTGCGTGCTCAATTAGGTTTATTTGTTAACGGATAAACTCTCAAGAACAGAATGCGAGAATATCAGCTGTTAAAGAAAAGGGACCTACTAGGAAGAAAACTGTAGAATACGAGAAACAGAGTTAAGAAATCTTCAAAGTCTGATTTTATTGATGATCCTGCGCGAGAGGAAACGCTAATTATACAAAACAGTAAACGAATACTTTGTGGCAGAGGTAGATTAAAATAAAGGCAATGTGTACTTTCCCTTCTGCCAAAAAATCAATATCGAATTACTTACTCCAAATTTCCAGATGTAATGACAAATTCAATTAAAAATCGTTTCGACCAGCCTAGTTTGTCGACCTCTATCTCGTGTCATCATTATTAGAAGCACTTTAGTCCCAAAACTTTTTTCCATCAGATGTTACAAAACTCCCGACATTTCAAAATTCTTTAATAATCGTTTTTAGTTTATTTATTTCTTTGTATTCTTATGTTCATGTTTTAGTGTTAGCTCATTTGTTCCTCTTCTCCACTTTATTTCAATTTTTATTTAATGCAAAAATTTTGATAATGCTCGCTGCATTGAAGAAGTTATTTTTAAATTTTCCTTTTTCGTGTCTGTATCAAAATAAATAAAACTGTTGGATGGAAGAAAACTTGAAAATATTTCCTTGGATTTTTCCTTTTTTTTCGATCATGGTCAATTTTACATACAGTCCTGGCCATCCTCAGTAGCGGCGCCACGGTGGGGGGGGGGGGCTTGGGGGGAACTGGGGGGACACTTCCCCCCAGTTCTCAGCAGAATTGATTTTGTATTTCGTCTAAATTCGATGAGAAAATGTTGGGGGAGGGGTAATATTTTGACACCGTACTTTTTGTGATGTAATCCTATGATTTTCAAACTGCCAATTTTCAAACAAAAGTTTGTCATAGGCGTTCCCTTCCTCTTCATTTTCTTGCTGCTAACCATTGGGGCGGCCAAGAAAACTGAAAGTAAGTAAGGATGCGTTGAGATTCTCTACAATCCAATAAACGAGGATGGGAATAAGTGGGGAACTGAAATGGTCTGTTTTGCTATTATTTCGACATCAATTCCAATTTTTAATATTCTACATTACCAATTACTAGAAAATATAACCTGAATAGATACATATAGACTGCGGTGAGGGATTGCCTAGGATTTGTGAAAAAATTCCTTTAAAACACTCAAAAATCTTTCGATTCATGTCAATGCTTACTATTTTAAAGCCATTCTGTTCCTTCAAAGCCCTATTTGCAAATATTACCCCTAGATTGAATATTCAAGGGCAGAAATCTCCCGGGCAGTTAAATAGGGAGCTTGGAATAACAATTCTCTAGGCAGAAATTGGGCGGTCGAAAAAATTGGGCGGACGGCCGAAAACCCACTCCGGAAAATGATCCAATATTGTGTTGCGTACGAGCTTTGGATGCAAAAGTGGTCACATTACTGATCCGCGACGGATCGAAACAGATCGAAAAAAAATCATTTCAACTTTTTTTTGAACCGTTCCGGTACAGTAGTTTTTTATCAAAATCGAATTAGAACTTTTCAAACAATAGAGCACGTGCGTCATGAATCTGAAACGATCCCAATCTGCAACGATCCGCGGATTCGTACGGAACTGATCAGAACAACACGATCTGATCCGATTCCGCGGATCGTTTTCCAGAGTGGGTTCTCGACGAAAACATTGTCGTCGGGAAGCAGAAAGCCATCTATAGCCATCTGGGTGCACATTTAGAAAAACGAATTCCATTAAAAAGCTAGAAAGCCCTTGGACCGTGGAGGCGAGCTGAGGGGGCTTAACCCTCTGGATAATTCCCAAATGTACTTAATCTCATACAAAAAATCGTGATTCTCTTGCTTAGCCCCTCCAAAACTGTTTAGGTCCGTAATATGATCCGCGGTCCTTGGCCAAGCCAAGTATCATTCCTCATCTTTTCCTTCCAACATTGCAGTAATTAGTGAGAATCAAAATTCACCTTGTATCATTTTTCTACTTCTTCATTTGCGTTGATTGCTGATGATAAGAGCGTTAAATGGTCTGCATGAAGGTAAACGGAAAATTTTCACAGCAGCCAAGCAATAAGTGAAAAATTTTCCGTTTGCAAAGCATTCATGTTGCCATAAGTAAAATATTAAACAATATAAACTAAAAGTGAAAGATCCAAACAAAATTTAGTCAAGAGCAAAATGGAAAACCAACTGTAGCAAGAGAACAAGATAGAGAAGAAACAACTTGTCGCCTTTTCTTCCGTTTTAGACCTCCGTTTTGGCACTCACACGCGAAAGAAGCCATGCGAAACTTTATATGGCTGATTTAACAGCCTTTTTGGTACTGTAAACAATGCTGTTAGTCCACATATTGTTTACAGTACGAAAAAGGCCCTTCCTAACACCCAAAAGAGTTCCGTTATCCGAAAACCCGGATAGTGCAATAAACTACAATGGCGACATTTTTCGGATTATTGGTAAAGCCCCGATCGTCGTTCCACCTAGCAGTTTTTAAGACCATCTGCATTAACATGAGAAATCGCTGTTGTGTAGACAGAAAGACTTCGTATTCACCTTAGGACTCCATTGGTAACATTTTCAATAGGCAAGGGGCACTGGTTGGGCAACCTCAACAGTCATGTGCTCGCGTTTCTGATTAGCCTATTTCGATCCACACCACAACTGGGAAAATATATTTCATGGCGTAGTGTTTTGATCTATGTCTTAATGTTATATACTCTGAAGAGTGTCAGACGAAAAGCTTTAGTATGATATAAAATGTTTGCTTTTTTCAAAGCCTTTTTGAATGAAAAATATATGCGAGATTCCAAAGGCCAAATCATGTGTGTCGGTAAATTTCTATGATAGAAGGAAATTTTAAAAGATTGTTTTAACTTTACACACTTTTCTTCACGTTTAAACTTTATTTGGCACTATGATCTCGTTTATTATTAACAGCGCTAATAATTTCCAGTCACGTTGGGTTTATAATATAATGTGTTGTTGTTGTTGCTCGTCCATCGAAGATCGATGATGACCTCAACTATGATGGGAGCGGCTGTGACCGACCAGCCCTATGCGGGCATGGAAGGCCTTACCGCAGGTGGTGCAGAGGTGTAGGCTGGTTTCAGGGTCGGCAGGAATCCTGTTTTTGTGGGCGTGAGCTTGTAGATAAACAAATAAAGGGTGACTTCTAGGATATACCTCTGGGGAGCATTTTTGTTGATGGCATCAATGCCTGGGAACTTCCATAGCCAGAAGCTAAACATGTTTGTATAGAATCTTCCGTGGTATAAAAACTCATCAGTAAAGGTACAAAAAATTTCAAATGCTACAGGCTTACAAATTTATTCTCGAAGATAGCATTAAACGAGCAACATGAAAATGATTCAAAAAATTAATTTCGCTTATTACCGTTTTGTCCCACGTAAGACATCATAAAATAATGTCATGTTTGTTTCTATCCAATTTTCAACACATGGCCAAATCAACGTCAATATAATACAACAGTCAATTGCTTTATTTTGGTATTCAATGCTTTTTTTTCAGCAAACTAGATGCCTTTATTAAGAGTATCACTAGAGGAAGCTCTCGACTTTGCGCTTCTGATTATTCCATTTGCCAAGGTATTTACTGTATCATAACTGCAACGATCGAGCGAAAAGATGTCTCGGAGAAACCCAAGAAGCATTTCCTGAAAAATAAAAGACAGTCAGAACAGACACTCTTTGAGAACCAATAAAGATACGTTTATTAAGATTTCTAAATAACAATAAAAATTTATGTAAGATCAGGCAATGAAAAGAGTTTGCAAAAAAGGCTATTTGCTCTCTTCTGCTAGGATCTGGGTACGTGAGTCTGGTTGTAGTAGGACTGGATGCTAATCTATAGAGCATTACTATGTTAATTTATGTTGATTTTGTTTAGTGTATTTTGTTGTAATTATCTTATAATCATTAGTCATTTTCGACCCTAACCTGTAACATGGGACCTAGGGTAGGAGGGCACGTTCTTCACAACATTTTGCTTTTGTAAGCGATTTATACATTGAAAAATACTTTCTTGTTCACTCTCTAATTAATTCGCTTGTCTTCTCAGAGTGACAAGGTATTATCCTTGCAACATGGGGAGGGGGGTTCTATTGAGGTGTTGTAAAGTTTTTGACCAATTTACGGTTCCAGATACTTTTCAAACGACTAGATATTATAAACCTGTCTTTTTTCTTGGCGTTTGTGAATAGAATTAAACATAATGATATCTGTGTGTCTAATAAAGAAAAATGAACCTTCTGCAATAAGTTACATCAATTGAAACAAAGCACATACAGCACAGTCACTGTAAAAAAGCATATTAAATAATTGAGCTGCTACAGTTAGTGAAAATTATATATCATCTAAGAAATCAAACAGAAGAAAAATTACACTACTTGAGAAGTAAGCAGAGCATGATTGCTAAAAAAGGAAGAATCGAGGCTGCTTGACAAACAACCAACCAGTGGCTAACAAGGTATATAGTGGCATAAGTTGAATATTCAAACAAATTAAGTTGAATTATGCTTTTCCACCCAATCAGGTTTCAAATGAAGAGGCGCTGAGAAGGGATTCTAAATTTGTTTTAAAATAAAGATATTGGAAAATAAACCTATCCAGTTTGGTGTCAAGGAAAGTTGCCTTCTGATGGCGTAAATGACTTTAAAGTGCACGTTTTTATAATCCATACCAATCCCTAGTTCGTTGAGTTCCTTATTTTTGGAACGCACCATCAACTTGCAGTACCAAAAATTTCTTAATAATCCCTTAATTTTAACTACGTCTCAGATGCAAGAACGCATTGAAATTCAGAATTTTGCGATTAACTATAGCTAGAAAACAAAGAAGGTAGTAAAGAAGCTTAATATATGTTCTCCATGAAACAATTGAGACCTGCACAACATACATCAGGATGAAATAATAGAGGGGGTCTTGTTTTGGACAGCAGAGCCCGTTCCACAGAGAAACGGAATGCCAAAGGGCAGAAAAACTGAGGGGTTTTAAATTATACTTATCATGGTTCGCTTTCTCCGCCTGCTACAGATTTCGCAATAGCATGGCTTAGTTGTTTCCAATATTCTCTATTCTATGGTGCAGTGTTGAGTTGGTTAATACTTAGGCCGGTCCATTCGTCAATATTATCTCGCCATTTCTTGTGTGGTTAAACTCTATTTCTTCTATTTTTAAGCATATCTTAGAGAGAACTAGTTTCGATCGCTCTTTATGACCAAAAAACTAGCTTCGTTCTATTTATTCATCTTGATATAATTAATGCGAGTTTTGACTGCAAATAAATGGGACCTGCTTCCTGATTTTCGATTGTTTGCAGTGATAAAAAAATCAAAATTGAAAGCTCCTTAGGGATTTTGTCTTTAGAGAAATGCAAGTTACTCTAGAAAAAGGCCTTCTAGATGAAGGCTCCTTATACAGCCGTTCCCTTTTAAAAATCGTGTACCACAGGGAACATAGAGCTCACCTTGAATGAATGACATTTATCTTTAAGGCTTCCATCCGGACCAAGAAATCCCCAGACTAACACTGGAGTAAGATGTTGTGACAGCCGATAAAACCTTGCCATAAATCCGTTAGTGCTCTACGAACACAAATATAAAATAACGTAAAGATAATAATCTGGACTGAATTGCAGCAGATGCATAGTATCAACGAACTACCCTGGGTACAAGAGCCGCAAAAATTAACGGCAGCAAAAAAGAGTGTACAACGAATAAGCAGATGAATTTAGAACAAAATGTACCTGAAGCATACGAGTTTTCGCTGTTAAAAGAGACCAGACTGACGTTGCCAAAGCCTAAGAGCAAGATTAAACGGGTTAGGTAGCGAAGATGCCGCCCACAATCTCGATCCTCGTTGAATCATAGAAGTGCAATAGTTTAGACGACTTCTTGCATGAAAAGTGGATTTTGATATTGTATGTTAAAAATCTTCGTTATGAATGATGGCATCGGTAAAAGAAACTCCAAATGGGTCCTGTTCAGGAAGGCAAATCATTCTACCTTGTGAATATTGATTCACCTGGAATTATTGGCATTTGCAGAGACGTTGTCTTTAAGTCAGTGCAACGAAACTCTTTGCATCGGCAGGAATAAGCATTTGAGATGAGTTCTTGCATGGAATATGAGCTGAGTAATAGAACAAAACGACGAAAATGTGGAAGTGTGGAGATGAATGCAACTTGATTTGTACGAATTGAAAATTCGAAGTTGGTTATTGAACTGGTACCGCCATTAATAAACCCTATACTAATTCCCTTTATAGACGTGCATGTTGATAACAACTCCTGAGGCAATGCAAATGCCAGGGGGCAAGGGACCCGTGACTTGAAGTCCAAGGCATGTACTCTACACACTCAAGAAAAAACAATACAAAATGATGACTAACTGTTTCTTTGATTGAATTTGACAGCCAACCATTCTGTATCACCGAAGTCAAGGCGTAAGGGGGCTCTTCCAAGTCATCGAAAGAATCCATTATGATAAAATCTAGTACGATATCGTAGAAGGACATGCAGCAAACCTGAAGACATAAAACTATATATAATCTTTAACTTGTCGTGGCTTCAATTTAAAATTACATAGCAAAGACAAAGCACATATAGTTTTTATATTTCAATTATATGCAACCTTACAAGAAATATTTTGGCTATTCTGAAAACTTTTAGCCCAAAGATAAAATCTATAAATTCACATAAAAACCAGTTTTAAGACTGCTTTTAAAGACTATTGTAAGAAAGCAAAGAACGAGAGCATGAGGCGCTATTATCAATATGAAAGAAAAGCATCCTTACCCCTCTTCCTTTCAACTCTTCTTCAATTTCTAGCCAGTTCTGCAGATCCTGGCAATAAAAAACCAGCGAATCGAATTCCCCCTCAAATGACGTTAAATCCTGAGAATGAATTTAGAAACAAAAATTATAAATTGCTTTAAAGAAACAAGTTGGACTGCAGCTGTAGCATTTAGAAGTTTACGCGATCTTTCTAGATACCGCATTAGAAACATCACGTGATATTGCTCGATACCATTGGTATTTGAATTTGTAATTAACACAAAAAGTTTCAAGGTATACTAAACCCTAATAGCAAGGCGTTTGATGTGCAAATATACAGCTTATGGTAATAATTTAAATGCAACGCCGCCACATACCTTTCCTGCCACAGTCAGAAACTGGATCAACATTTTCCTCCCAATTTCTAGAAACCATTCTCTTGTTTCTGTATTTTCAAATATAACCTTGAAATAAATCGTACAAAGAGGCGAAAAATTAACTGACATTCTTAGAGACTTTAAAATTTGTCAACAATGATAATATTATTGAATATTCTATTGTACGATAGTACAAGCTGAAGTAAAAACTATATATAAAACATAGAATATAAAACAAAGAAAATATATTCCTCCTTCATCAACATCAATAATTTATGACGAATTTGACCGTGTAACAAGACCTCTATATAATATATAATATAAAGAAAAATACGAAATACAATAAGACGAGAAATTCGTTTAAGATTCGTTCGTTAAATGCTTATTGGAAATTTGACATACCTCGAAAGCTCTCCTAATGCAGTAGACTTTTATGCTGAAATCAGCATCATTTTCACAACCCAGCAGCTCTGTTCTAGACAAATTGCAAGAGTATCATTTGAGTCCAATGTTAGAGCACTGCAAGTGCAAACTTCATATTACAGTCTTAAAGACTCCAAACCCATTGATTCAGTTTCGTTCCGAAGAAAAAGAATCTTGATCGCAAAATTTTCAAGCGCACTTACGCTTGCTTTAAGCGAAAAAAGTAATATATGCCTTTGGTACCGCAAAATTGAAAATAGCACAGAAGAGCAGAAATAAATTCAATCATTCGAAGTATCAGTATCAGATAAGTATCAGATAATATCAACATTACAGCTTTTTCTTTTAGTTTTGATGTTTGTTTTTTTACATTATATAGCCTTACGCTGCTTCGTTGCAAAAGCTCTTATCTAGACAAATACAACTTCAACAACAGGAGCAATATTTAGCTCAACTCAGTTTTAAGAAACATACCTCTTTTTTCGAACTTTAACCCCTACATTATTGTAGCTCTCGATGCCTTCGTTATAAAATTCGATGTGTCTGAAAAAAATCATTAACAGTTTTGCTGTTCTAAATAATCAATTAATAAAAAATGAGCCCATCCCGCAAATTTTTCCCAATTCGACAGTACACATTTGTAATAAAAAGAAAAGTATTTTGCCAATATAAAATCTCTTTAATTGTACTGCTGCTATGGCCAGAAAATTAAAGAAAAATTAAAGAGACAGGCATTAAAGAAAAACGCTGAAGGTCTCTCTGGCACAAGAATTGTGCTTGACGTTTCAGAAAAACAACCGTTTCTGAGAAAATGAGGATCTTTCCCTTCTTGTTATGTCAGCAAAAGAGAATAAGTAAGCATTTCCCAAAGAAAGCAAAAATAACCAACCCATATTGTAATAGAAGTGCCTGAGATTCTTGATCACAAAGGATTAATTTTTCCAGCTGTTCCTGGAAATAGAATAGACCACAGAAACTAAATTTGGTTATTGATAAGAATTAAAGCTCAGATTTTGGAATCCCTGTAATGATAACACATTTCAGGAGATGTTTCCCAAAAGCAAATTAATGCAAAACCAATAGATCAAAAATGTGGGTGGCCTGTTTATGGCACAAAGGTTGATAATTTGGAGACCCTAGTGGTGTACTCTGATATATTCTGGATAGTAAGGGTGCTATAATTGAATAAATGTATATTGTTACAAAAAGACATCCACCAAATAAGCATTTTCCATAACTTACATATTTAATCAAGCTATCTGGTTTCACCCCTCTTGCTGCCTGCTGCCTTTTTCTCTCAATACAATAATATTTTGGAAACCCTTTTGGTTTGGTCTAGTGTTTGAAACCCAAAAAACTATTTCAGCAGAAACTATACATGTTGGATGGTACCTCATGGACTCTTAACATTTAGTGACATAAAATGTATAGAAGCATATGGATTTGGAGAAAAACATTGAAGATCAGATGCAAAACATGATTAAAAACAAGTAGTTCCTGATGGAATATATGAAGATCCTAGTAAAGGACCTCAATTGACATATTGAAAGCAGATTAGAAGAAAAGCAAATAAAGGAGGTGGTAAGGTATGTAACTACAGTAGACTCTGGCTATAGCAAACACCAAATGTTGCTTGAAAACTTGTGACTGTAAAAAAGAGTGACTGTAACAGAGCTAAATTTTATAGTTTTCCATATATGGGTCTGAATTTCATGTGACTGTTATGTAACCAGAAGTGTGACTTTATGCAGAGTGGCTGTAGGGGGGAGTTGACTGCATTTGAGTACATTATAAGTATATTAGGGTTTGCGTATCCACATCAAATCGTAAGCACTTGGATTGGGAATTAAGAGAGAGAGAAAGAGAATTAAAATAAAAACTGTTCAAAACACTTAAAATGTTGAATGGATCCAGTACCCTTATATCAAAATGATGCTCATCTAAAATTATTTGGTAAAATAACTCACCTCATCAGGAACAGATTCAGCTGCAGAGACAAAAGACTCATCACTGCAAGAACTGACTTCATCTTCATTTCCAGCATCAGTAAAATCTTTTTGGCTGCAGGAAACTGACAACTTCTGCTCTGCATGTCTAACTACGGGAACTCTTCTCTTTCTAGCAAACTCTTCCTTTGTTGTATTGCTTAAAATACATTCTTCCTTCAAAATCAACTCCAAAACTGCCACCACCTTTTTTATTCTTTGTACTCTATCAACTTCCCAACTCTCATTTTCCTTTATGCTATTCAGAACATCATCAAGCTTCTCCAAGGTCACAACCAGGTTTTCCAAAACTGTGAAATAGAGCTTTTCAACATTTATCCAGATAGACATTCTTGGTTTATTTTTTGATAAACAAAAAACCTATGTTTGATAACCCTACTCAAAATGAGCTTTCACTTTTAAGAAATAAAGTTTTTAGCAAAACTTATCTCAAAAAATGCAACATAACTCAAAGAATTGTGCTGGATGAGACTGTGCTCGGTAGCAAGAAGATTAGCTGAGATTGGTGCAATTGAACACCAAAAGAAGAATGGTATTTCAACTGGAAGCTATGAATTATGAATTATGTTCAAAAGGGACTTAGCATCATAAGCATGTACATTTCAGCTTATATCATATCACTTATTCCAATATATATATTTCTTGTTCAATTTATGTACCCATTGAAAAAGCCTTTGGTAGAAGTGATGAACCAAGTTTATTTAAAATCAAGTTCAGTTTGATGGAGTTCAATTCAGGTTCAGGTTGAAAAGCATTTGAAAGCACGATATCTGCATTACAATAGGTAGGGAACAATATTTCTTTGCTGAATTCACTGAAAAGCTACTTATGTCAGTTGAAGAAGAAGGATTGGGTACAGGAGTTACACCTGCATCTTATTCTACCATTACCTTTTGCTAATTGGAGAACTTATCTCCAAAAGAAGTATACCAAACTGATTGGTGTGTGCAATGCTGGAAAAACTTATTCTCGTTTGTTACAGCTGATGGTATAACATCAGCTATTGACTAACTGCCCTTATCGCTGCACACTCTTTTGGCGGAGGCTGAACTACTGTAAATCGTTTGGAAACCATTTGGAAATAGAAGATAAATTGATTGACAGAAAGTCTAAAATATCCTTCACATTTTTACCACTAATGTAAACAACAGTGTTGTCCACATATTTGAGAACCTGAGCATGCTGGTGGGATTGCACACCTTTCCCAGAAAGGCCTGAAAACTGGTATTTGGTTTACAATTTTCCATATATATATATAGGATTTTGATGCTAGCAACAAATGTAAAATTGCTTTTATAATATCACCAACAGGAGGAAATTAAAAACATTCAGGGAACACCATTCTGTTTTGTTTCACTATAAGTGTTCTTTCAATTTTTAACCAGTAATATAGAAATACCCAATGTCATGCAGGATATTAAACAAACCTACCATTGGTGTCAAAAATGATCACATCATCTGTCTCTACTTCAAATTCAGGTTTGCCTATGCAATAACATTAAAATGCAAATATATTATGCAACAGTGTAATGTCTTAAAAATATTAAACATTTTAAAACCATTTTACACGATGGCACTGAATAGAGGCAGATTCAAATATAGGCTCCAACCACACAATGAGTAAGCAGAAGGAACATAAATCTAATGTAAGCTATTTTCATCTGAAATTGAAAATTTGCCAATGATCAGAGAAGTAACTAAACTATGCTGCAGTGTTGAGATATAATTTTCAATCCTACATAATGATTTTATTCTAAGAAATCCATTCCTCCTTCTGTTACAAAATAAATAGCATTTATCTTATTCAAATAACCTTGACAAATTCACACACTTGTATATTATATCAAGTGTGCATAGGAAATTTCCGAAAAGTACCTCCGATGATCTTTCACACTTTCCAAATGGGGAGGCACTAAAATTAATCAAATTTATATGATAAGCCACGTGAAATATGATATGCTAACTATTTTCCGATCATAAATCACAAACCTTTAGAAAGTTGCGAAAAGATCTCGGCTTCAATAGCATCAGCATGTTTCTGCTTGCGTCTTCTTCGACTTTCCTCTTTCTTGTTAGCAATGACCAAATAGGCGACAGAAACAACACCAAAAACAGAAACAGCTACAAAAATTGTTGCATTCAAGTTGCCTGGTCTAACAATTGTAGCACCAAACCAGCCCGTCATGTTTTAGACATTATTCTTAAAACTTTTTATTGAAATCTGACAAAATTGCAGCAATAGGCCATCTTGAAACGGTCTTTCTGTACCCCTGTGTAACTATTAATTTCACTTAGTACCCCTGCGTGGAGCATGTTTCACCGATGGTCTCTAACCAGGGTCGGCCTAGATCATGCATAGTCAGCTAACGTACATGACGTCATACATCTTTGAAACCGAGGACTAAGTGAAATAAGACGGCGGCTGCAAGCAATGGCGGAACTCGCCTGTGGTTTGCTATGGCATTAACAGGGCCCATACATCCCTACAGAACAGTTAAATGTTTTAGGCGAATGCAAGAAAATGACCGGAGGAAATCTTTCTGTAGTTTGCTTAATCTACAGGGGCATGTTTACCAGATTTTCTGCTTACTTCGTTCGGGGAATTTCTGCTAAAGCTGGAATTTAGCTTTTTCTCCAGGGGTTTCAATTCATAACAGACACAAGGAGAGAAAAACGGAACAAAGTGTATATTCTACTCTAAAGCATTAAATACGCCCTGTTTTAAAGCACTTTCTTACAGTTGAATCTAAAGAATTCGTTTTAGTGCGCGTGCAGCTAGTAGCCTACGAAAACTCTCTCTTACGTTTTCGCCTGAGTCAGAGTAACTACCATTGAAAATTATTAACAAAATTTGCTGTAATCAAGCCTAAAGTCTCTTTTAGAAGCATTGCGTCAGTCTTCATATTCCATAGTTTAGTGTTTAGAACATTGACTAAGCTGACCTATTGGCAGTTGACATAGGAATTGAATTTCATGCCGCTTGCAATAAAGTTTTTCATCAAATGGTTAGAATGTGATGACGTCATACTACCATTTATGCATAAGGTTGGCATAGTTTGTATGGCGTCATGTAAGTTAGCTGACTATGATCTATGCCGACCTCTAACCAGTGTCTCTAACCAATGATGACTACCACAGATCAGTTGACCCAGATCAGTGGATGACTACAGTGGACCTCAAGATTCAACTACCTCCTTTAGTTATCAGCTTGCCACTAAATTCTTACCATTCTCCCTTCATAAGAATTGTTTTTATGTCCAATCTTAGTAAGTCTTAGTTAGTCGTGTCTATTTTTTATAAGAACAATTTTATAAGAACACGAGCCTCAAAACTGGTCAAAAGTTAAGAACAAATTTAGAACAAGCTGAGGCTGAGCTTCTGCAAAATGCAATTTTGAACAACGTTTTTTCTCAAAATCGAGGATTTTTAGCGATGTGTGGGTGCTTTTTCGGTGAATTAAGGCTGTCTCACTCACTTTTTTGGCAAATGAGGCCTGGACACCTCCTTAGAGCGAAAAAGCTAGCAATAGCATTGCTTACACCCTCTGAATTTAGGAACAAATTAAGAACAATCCAGCCTCAGATTTTCGAAAAAAATTAAGAACAGTCAGCCTGAACTTAAATTTACTGGTTCTTATAAAAAAAGAGTGTAACCGACAATCCAGCAATATTTATATTAGGCCCTGTTTACAGGGGGGAAATGGGACCGATCCATTTTGGGATCGATCTCGTTTGGGATGGCTCCGTTTTCACGGGATCGCTCCCAAAATATATTGTGTTTACACGGGATCGATCCCAGATGGGATTGCACTGCTTTCTAGGCCCTTTTGAAAGTAATGTTCATGCGTATTGCTTATCCCATCAAAAACACAAAGAAAATAACGCCAAATTTATAGGAAGGCTGAGAAATGGCTTCGAATTTGAAAGGTAGCAACAAAATGTTTATTTGCAGCGATGAATAAAACGGGCCTTACACCTGAATATCGCGCTAGAGTAAAAGGCCTGTTCGCTGAATTTATCAATGACTCGTTAAAAATAGAAAACATTCCCCATCCTTTTTGTATTTTCAATTTGGTTGGCAAAGAGGGCGCGCAAGATCTGACCAATGGTCGAAGCACCTCAAACTTGAGAGTTCATTAGCCTCGTTTCCTATCAGTACCAATTTTGAATCGATCCCACCTATTTCAGGCGTTTCAGGGGCGGACGCAGAGTAAATCATGACCGTGGCACAAGAATAGTGGGGGTCCGGGGGCTACGCCCTCAGAAAATTTTTAGGTGACCACGCCCTCTGGTCTTTCGGAAACGCCCAGTCTATTGTCTATTGGATGGATTGTTCTCTATTTCTGTTGCTCAAAATCTTTTAATGTGTAGCTAATGACGGGCCATTCTCAAAGAAAACTTGTGAAACCCGAACCCCTTTTTATCTAAAAATAGTCCCCTGCCCGTTTAAACTACCTTCCCGGTCTATTTTAGTTCTCAGAGCATGAATCTAATCATTTCTTCACGCGAATACTTAGTAAAAAGTCTCGAAATTCTCTCCCCGAGGCGGACACGACGTCAGAATTTGTCGGCCCCTTTGAAAAAAATGATGGTAGAGATTTTATTTTGACCCGGAGTCAAAATAAAATCTTCAACGATGGATCCTTATCGCCAATTAAGCGGATTAAAAACGACAGATAGCATCAAACTTTTTTTAGCCTTTTACACGATCGTTGTCATTCATCGCGGTCCAATATCGAAAAAAAATTAAGACAAAACGATCGTGTAAACCCGCCTTTAAAGAGAGACTTATTAGGCACCCGGCGATCACCGGAATCACCTAAGCAAGTTCATACTCGACAGCACATTTTTTAAATATTTGTGCCACGGTGCCACTTAATGAAAGAACATACGGAGCCTCGATGCAATTGATCTCAATACACATTTCTCGGGCCTCAACAGAAGCATACAGAGCCTCGACCGTGTCACAAGAACAAAAGCACAGCCATTTGGTCTCAAAACATATTGTTTAAAAATGTGCGCGCATACTTCTATTTATATCTAGTGTGGCACGATTGTTACTATCCATATTTGGTAGAGCCAATTATTCTTTTTAAATTAACAAAAGACAAACAATGAGCAAATTCAACATGGCGTACTACTAAATTAACAGCGGAGAAAGGGCGTGGTAGATAGACGCTGGAGCGAGGGGGAAGTGTTAGACAGCAAGGATCATATCGGGATATTTAGAACAGTCCATTATTTTCCAAAAATTTAAATTTGGAAATCTGACCGTGGCAGGTGCCACCGGTGCCACCGTCTGAATCCGCCCCTGCGTTTACTGAAGACAAGATCGATCCCAAACTGGAACGCTTTCCAAAGCGAACCCAAATTAGTCCAGATAACGGATCGATCCCGTGCAAACGGGGTCTTAAGCAACATTTCCATGGGAAAAAAGATTAATAGGCTGCAAAAAATTCAAGTATAGCAGCAGCAGCAATTATCGTTTAGGCAGATTGAACGAGAAAATGATCCTTGAGTTAGGCCTTGAGTTAAAGCAACGAATTCCAGAACAATCTCCATTCTCATTTGTAGCGTTTCTCTTGAAAGTTTTGAGATTTTTAGAGATTTCCAGCCACGTTTTCTAAAGGGCATTTTGGCTATTCGCATATTAAACTGCAATCCTCTCCGTCAAAATTTCATTTAATTTCATATCATATTTGTTCAAACAACATGGGACCAGAAAGCTTTTAATAGTGCGTGACAAGTGCCCATTTCACAAGTACTCATAAAGAAGCAGCAGTTCAGGGTTTGTGAGATAAAACGTAAGTGTTCCGAATTCAGATTACGCTAACAATACTACTGTTACAATAATAGGAGTATCTACATGTCTTCAAGACTATTGGTGGATAACTTGAGTGACAGCTCGATCATTGGCCATCCTATTAACTTGGACCAAATAGGATGTCCTTAGGGTTGTGGAGCAAGCATGCGGTGTTCTCAAGCCAGTGATTAATCAGGATGAAAGAACTGTTTGTAGAAAACACCAAGAGCTGCCATATTTCTCAGAAATATATCTCTAAAAAGTCTTCTGAGGCCATCAATTTGATCTGAAAATGAAATAGACACCCTGTAGTCTTAAATGCTGATTTATTGGGTCAGGGGATCAAAGAGATCACGGGCCAAGAGACACAACAGGGCAATTTCAAGACCTGTGACGAAGTAGCACAAATCACTGAAAATGTGCAAAGTCAAGTTGTTAGCTCTTGCTCTCTCTAGAATTGACTGTGATTTGAAATAAAATTATTTCCTTTTAATGCTTTTAACGAGTATCTGCTCAGCTCTTTAAGTTAATTTGTCCATATAAAAGGATTGCGTATACCAAACTGGTCAAGTAATATCAAAACAATGGCTTGTGATTGGTCAGTATTCTTGCGATGCAAAATTGCCCACAGGCGATGACATGAAAAATCACGTTTCTGAACACCCTCGCAGAGCTGCTTGCTTTAGCGGGACACACTACCTCTAAGTAACATTAATCGATAATAGTTATGATAAGTAACATTCCCTAAAAACGTTTCCAGATACTATTCTTACGCTTAAGAGAGTTTAAAGGTTCAAGAAAGACCTTAACCACTTCTAAATACCGTTAATTTAAAAATATAACTTATATAAGCAATTAGATCTTAGACTACATACCATTAGAGAAGATTATAGCTGGCTTTGCTCCATACTTTTCAGAAAATTTTTGAGGAGAAATATTTAAATCCTGTAAAGAAAGAATATGTGTTGACAAACCTTCAATTTCCATTTACTGATACAAAACCAATCGTCTACCTAACTATGAATAGTATTATACATATCAAATAGATAAGCCAAAAATAAAATGTACAGAAAATCTACTAATTACATGCAAAAGGAATATTGTTCATTTGGAACCTTTGGAAGGCAATGTAGTACTTTCACAGTAATGAGCAGCCATTTCCTCTTCAATAATTTACAATCATGAAAGACGATCAAGGCAAAGGTAAAATAAAGATGAGATCCTATAATGTCTTTCTATCTTTCATTAAAACGTTGAAACCTAAAATTTATACGTTTATCTTATTTATCATTAATACCAGTTTAACAAGCTTTGATAAATACAAACCAGCAAAATCATAGCCTTCATGCTGATTTTCTTTGTAGGTTCCTATCTAAAACACCCCTTTCTCTAATATGATTACCCTTCGTGCTGATTTTCTTTGTAGGTTCCTATCTAAAACACCCCTTTCTCTAATATGATTACCCTTCGTGCTGATTTTCTTTGTAGGTTCCTATCTAAAACACCCCTTTCTCTAATATGATTACCCTTCGTGCTGATTTTCTTTGTAGGTTCCTATCTAAAACACCCCTTTCTCTAATATGATTACCCTTCGTGCTGATTTTCTTTGTAGGTTCCTATCTAAAACACCCCTTTCTCTAATAATGATTACCCTTCATGCTGATTTTCTTTGTAGGTTCCTATCTAAAACACCCCTTTCTCTAATATGATTACCCTTCGTGCAGATTTTCTTTGTAGGTTCCTCTCTAAAACACCCCCTTTCTCTAATATGATTACCCTTCATGCTGATTTTATTTAAAGTTCCCCTGTCTAAAAACCTCTTTTCCTAATAAGCCTTCTATCTTTTAACCTCTACCCTTTAAGCTCAAGAATTGAATAAGCCCTTTCCATAGCATTATAGAGTCATTGCCTTGTACAGATTAAAGGTTTACTCTTCACCCAATAGTATAAAAAAAGCTGAGTGAAGAAAGTTACCTTACAGAAGCGCCATAAACCAGACAGCAAAAAATATACATCTTGCGGCTTTATAAAATCGATGAAGTTACAAGAATTACTCCATGGCTCAGGTATCCAACCAGCCTAGAAATAATATTTAAGAGCGGTTTATATCAATCATAATGGATAATATGTTTTTTACAGAGGTAGCACAGGACATTTGGTAAAGCGATCTAGAACTTAATATGAAGAAGCAATATTTGAGAAGTTTTTGTCTTAAAACATACAACTAACTCTATTCATCTATCAACCTCGGCGAACTCAATCGAAAAATATTACGTTCTGTTGTTGAGGAAATCAACTGATAACTGTTAGGGGTGTATCAATAATGAAAGCAGCGACAACAACATTAGTCTCAGGTAATGAAGTTAAGGCAATAGTCAGACGTTCACTATATTCATCAGAACTGTTTGAATTCCAAATTTCCAAATTTGAAAATTCTAATGAAAGCTTTAAAATTCATTCTAATTGCATTTTTCAAACAATAAAATGATATGTTTTTCTCATTTCGAAAATCAATTCCCGATGAACTCTGCCATACATTTCAAAATGCAAAATTTAGGAATGGCAAAACCAAAAATGACTAATTTCCGATAAATGAATATGTCACTTTAGTTTAGAGACAGTTTCCTCATCTCCTTCAGTTTAACATTGATACCCTTGCTATAAAAAATGATATGTTCCAACCTTGAAAATACAAAGGCAGATTACGGTTCTTTCTTGCCTATATTTTCAAAGTTGCCCGTTTAAATGTTGCCCATGGAGTATCCATACGAAATATAAATAAAAAAGCACTTATAACCAATATCAAGACTCACTGTTCTTAACAAAATGAGAATTCTTCGAGTGGTGTTGAGCTGATCAGGTGAAGCTTTAACAGTAAGCTTTCTGTCAACTTCCCAGTATGTTAAACAATTAGCAAAAAGGCTTTGGACAATCACGGTGCAATGACATAATGACGGTCGCTCTAGAAATGGAAAATAAAATGGAATTTAAGCTTCAGTCTGTTCTATAACATACCAAAACGTCCTTACAGACAATTACTTGACAGTTGAACAAAGGTATTAGAAACAAAATCTGCTTACCCCTGCTAATAAGATCTAGTAAGTCCCAGAGAAAAGGGTTTCTCTCAAATTGCTTCTTTATCTTGATGTCCCTAAATGTAGGAAATACTGGAAGTTAAAAAGTACCTAGGCAAAAAATCTTTTATACTCATCTCAGTTGTCAACAAGAAAGTTCTGTTGTACACTACAACAAGAACGTGGAATCATCTATCAAAGTTTCAAACAGTTTGCTACAACTCAAGGAATACTTTGGCCTTTGACAAAAATATTCAACGCCGTACCTCTCGATGGTATATTTTAAAAATTCTTCATCTGGCCAGGCCATCCTTGGTGTAACCTCGGGGCATATGACTTCTGCTAAAAGATTTGCTAGGAATGAATATGGCGGCTTTAAGCTGCTTTCTTGAAGCCGCAAAATCATAGATTCAGAAAAGGAGTTTGCCAGTTGTGGGTCAACCTTTTCATTTCCCATAACTTTGTCGCTTGCGAGGGACTTTAATGACAGTATGCTGTCTAATGTACTCAGTAAAAACTGCTGGATAACTCCAACGTCAACCTTTAAAAGAATAGAATGCATGTTCATAGAAAAATTTGATCAAACTATAGAAAAGGAGGAAGATTTCTATAAATCGTATTTGTTGTAAAAAGATAATTTATTATCGGTAATAAAACATTGGAAAGCAAAATGTCCAGCTAAAATCAAAAGTCGCAATATTTTTCAAAAGTTAGCCAAAATATCTTCCAAAAGTTTACACCAGTAAAGAAAAAGAATGAGAAAGTTGAAAATCCAATATTATTTCTATACCCAGACGGGATAACGGGTGTAACACAAGTGTTATTGTTTTTATGGACGATTCCCACAAATTTACAATCATGAAGAAGCACGGATCAAGGCAAAGGTAAAATCAAAGATGAGATCCACTATAATGTCTTTCTATCCCCTTTCCATTAAAACGTTGAAAACCTAAAATTTATACGTTTGATCTGCTAGTTTATCATTAATACCAGGTTTAACAAGCTTTTGATAAAATACAAACCAGCAAAAAATCATAGCCTCCATTGAACTGATTTTCTTTGTAGTTCCTCATCTAAAACACCCTCTTTCTCTAATTACAATACTCCTTCGTGCACTGTTAATTACATATATACAGTGACGGCATAGATTTCCCTTATGCATACCACACACCCGACCCGATACATACGTGAGGTGCTTTGTTTCCCTGTCGTAATCTGCTGATCCCCAGCGGATCTGGTGCGTGTGTGCCTAACTCGGGCTTTGGCGCTATACATACAGCCAGACACTACTCAGTGCGTGGCGTGAGAGCTAGAGTGATGGTGTAAGGTGAGCTCCCTCTCTCTTCATGCTGGATTTTCTGTTGTCTGTCACTTCCGCTCTCTCTAATATTACCGTTACAGAACACACTCCTTCACTCTAAATTTTTCTAAATTATACCCTTCGTGCAGATTTTCTTTGTACGCGATGCTTCGCTAACATACATATTCCCTCCACACTTAATCGACTCTGTGTCAATATCATAAATCCACACTGGTTAGCCCCGCTGCCTCGCGGTAAAGACATAATATCGCTTTTATTTATAAGTAGTATCCCCCTGTCTAAAATCTCTTCTTCCAGCGTGGTTATCCTGTGAGTGAGAGGGCAGCATAGCTTCTATCTGTACTTGTAACGACTCTCTTTGCCATATACTCCCAACTTCGAATGAATAATCCCTCCCACTGAGAGCAACGACATCATGAATACATTTCACATGTTGTACCTCAGCATAATAACAACACTACTGACCGTACACATATTACTCTTTCTCTACTCAACGACTTTTATACTCCAGTATACACACCAGCACCAGACAAAGCAACCAAGTCATCAGTGCAGAGAGAACAGGGCCTCCATATGTACGAGAGCGGCCGCGGTATATCTTACAAACAATCACTCAGCATAACACCTCTATGATATTCGATGATACACTTGTTCATAAAACAATCAATGAGCAGATATAAGCAACCGAAATTCCATCGTGCTCAGGGTGATTCTACCGAGCGCATGGTCTATAAGAAACCACGTATCAAGTTAAAGTAGCGATAGCCCTTTGGACGATGCTGAGTCCCGAAAGTCATAATGCGCGACTTTATATGAGGTGGTGGATCTACTTCACAGAGGGTACACAGCAGACATTTGGTAAAGCGATCTAGAAACTTAATATGAAGGAAGCATAATTTTGAGAAGTTTCTTGTCTTAAAACATACAACTAAACTCTATTCATCTATCAACCTCGGCGAACTCAATCGAAAATATTACGTTTTGTTGTTGAGGAAATCAACTGATAACTGATTAGGCGTGTGATCGAATAATGAAAAGCAGCGACAACAACATTAGTCTCAGGTTAATGAGTTGAAGGCAATAGTTCAGACGTTCAGCATATTCATCAGAAACTGTTTGAATTCCAAATTTCCAAATTTGAACAATTCTAATGAAAGTTTAAAATTCATTTCTAATTGCATTTTTTCAACAATTTAAAAATGATATGTTTTTTCTCATTTTCGAAAATTCAATTCCGATGAACTCTTGCACATTACATTTCAAAATGCCAAATTTAGGAATGGCCAAAACCAAAAATGACTAATTTCCGATAAAGAATAGTCCACTTTAGCATTTAGAGACAGTTTCCTCATCTCCTATCAGTTCTAACCTCCCTTGCTATAACTAAAATGATTATGTTCCAACACATAGCGAATATCATAAGAGCTCATCTATCTTCTCTCTCATAGCCTATCACATTCTGTGTGCTATTAAGTCTCCTTATATAAAAAACATATAGGCTGCGACCTTCGAGCGCGCGCACGTCAGCCTTATCCGCATACGAATAATGTCACCATTAAGATCTAGCGAGACCGTCCCCAGGTATAACAGCAACCCAGAGCGGTCCAGCTGTTAAAAATCTTTCGCCAAAAATTGATCGTATATTCATAAAGTACGACTCGTGTGTTATACGACCGCTATCTCGTGCCTACTGATACCTCTATAGTATGCTCTCTACTCTCTACAAGCTTCCTAACACCATTCTTAGTAGATATCGACATTGCTGCTTAGCGCGACGAAAGCTAATAGGTATCCTCAACCTGACAGTGAGTTACCAATTATTGGTAGTCTAAAGGCCTTATGACCTCAGTGTATTGAGTCGTCTCCCATCTAAAATAGAGAAGAGGATGAGATTAACTCCTCATTGCTTAACTCTCTACCGAGCTCCGACTCACCTCTATTACCACATTACCACAAACCGTTGATCGACATACGTCACAGCTTTCAGTCGATGAATAGAGTAACGGACAAATAGATCATTACCGGATCTCGAGTTACGATAGAACATATAGCTTCATACCCCACCCCTGTGCATCAATCCACAACAGCCGTCCCCATACATACCCATCAGAACCAGACAGAGAGCGATCATATGTCGCTGCGTGCGAGAGAGTGGCGTTCGTCTCTGATTATATCTCTACCGTTCCAGCCCCGTAATAATGGAAAGCTTTAAAAAGTGACCCTAGTAGGCTAAGGAATGGGTCATCTCGTGGGTGTCTACTACATCAGCTGCTCTAGTGTGGTCGAGACCACAAGAAAGTGTTTCTGGATAGTGTGAGCGCTTTACAACAAGAACGTGGAATATCTATCAAAGTTTCAAACAGTTTTGTAACAACTATCAAGGAATACTTATGGCCTTTTTGACAAAAAATATTCAACGCCCGTACCTCTCGAAACTGGTTATATTTTTAAAAATTCTTTCATCGATCTGGCCAGGCCCATCCTTGGTGTAACCCGGGGCATATGACTTCTGCTAAAAGATTTGCTAGGAATGAATTTATGGCGGCTTAAGTGCTTTCTTGGAAGCCGCAAATCATAGATTCAGAAAAGGAGTTTGCCAGTTGGTGAGTCAAACCTTTCATTTCCCAGAACTTTGTTCGCTTGCGAGGACTTTAATGACAGTTTATGCTGTCTATGTACTCAGTTAAAAACTTGCTGGATCTAACTCCAACGTCAACCTTTAAAAGATAGAATGCATGTTCATAGAAAATATTCTGAGTCAAACTTAGAAAAAAGGAGAGATTCTATTTAACATCTCCGAGCCCGTTATTTGACTGTAAGGAAACTCCCTCTACTCACCTTTCTTGAGAATATACTATCTGGAAAGCCAAAGAGACCTTTTCCCATTGACTCCACAGCTCACATAACCGATGCGAGATATACACACTAATGAATCTCTCTTCTCTCCGCAAAGTCAGCCTCATCATATACGCACATAAGTTATACCTCAGGCCTCCATACACTCTTTGAGTCAACAGAAGAGAACCTCCCCATATCACTTCGACCTCATCATCGCAAACTCTACATTATTCTATACCCAGACGGATCTTGCATACTTCCATCACCACATTATCAGGACAATACAGTGGCCAATGTCGTCCACACGATCCATGACCTCGTATACTCACAAGTGTTCATGTATCACCAGTGATATGCCCCTACAAATATATGCATACGTTTTCCTCAGCCGCTACCGGTCCCTGATAAAACTCAGATCCTCTCTGAGGTTACCATTTTATGCAGGGAAAACAGGGCTCTCCGATTGACGAGATGGCGGGCGCCAAGCTGCGGCTATTTATACTAGCCTCGAGGTATCACGCTATCGACAATAGCCCTATATATCTCATAAAATAATCTCAGATCCTTTTATACAATCTAGTTTCACTTTTTTGCGTCACGATGAGACTATTCTTGCCAGACTCACATACTTACATCGGAGCATTACAATATGAAAATGGCCTTGAAAAAATATCCAATATCTTCTCATGAGCCGTTGAAACGAACTTCGCACACACATATATATAGCGTCTACGTGCGAGGCGTCGATACATCCGAGACAACGATAACATCAAGACACGACCCTTCCTATACGCGCGAAATATAGATATATTGTTCTCTCCTACTCTGTCTCTCTGACAGCTAGACGTTCGCGAATTTAAGAAGTATATACTCATGACACCTCTCGATTCCTCTACAACCTACCATCACACACACATCCGATTTCACTCGTCTATACAAGCAACAAAGGCTGCGAATGTGCAGTTGTAACACATTCCTCTGTAGCTACTCGATATAGATATATAGAGAGAGACATCGTGAGAGCTCGTCATTTAAGCGTCTATCCTGATGCACATGATTAAAGCCGTACGGGCTCGGTCCTTCTCTTCAGTGCACACATATGTACTGCTCTTGGACTACTCCATGGATACAAGACGATGCCAGAACATGTCTGCTATCCCCAGAGATCGGCGTTCCTGACATCGTGAACCGAGAGATAACTCTCTATCACAGCGACACTTCTTTGACTCTCGTCTGGCGCGCGAGAGTGAGCACACAGTACTGCCGCGACACATACATACAGACATACTCGCGTGCGCATCTGGCTTGATACACTTTTTTCAAACCTGTTGCGGAGTACTAAATATAAGAGTTAGCTGCACAATTTCTATTAACTGAGCGTG